CTTTATCACTTGTCATCCCTAGTAGGCTCCATGAGGAATCCCAAGGAATGCCTTTCTCAAGAAGGTCTCCAAAATAAGCGAAGCAAAATGGTTTGTAAAATTTAAACTGGTACACACATTTATTATTGTTGTTATTATTAATAACAACAATAATAATAATAATTAGCAGTTTAATGGGTCATATCTTGAACTGATTTAAATTTGTTGCTGATTAGGAATTCCCTACTCTCTCAATCCCCTATAGTTAAAAAAACAAAACAAAACAAAACACCCTACCATAACCTTTCTTTCTTTCTTTCTTTTCTTTTTCTTTTTTGACATTGACTTGTGATTTCATGGCAGTAAAGAAATTCCAATAAGGAAACTCCCTCTACCAATGCAGCAGAGACTTAGTCACCTGGAGGCACTGAGAGGTTAAGGGACTTTCCCAGGATCATATAGCTGTAAGTATCAGAAACAGGATTTTCTGACTCAGAGGCTGGTTTTCTATCTAGGTCACCCCTCTCTACCATCACTTTTCTTTTTCTTTCTTTCTTTTTTTTTTTAGGCAATCAGGATTAAGTGACTTGCCCAGGGTCACACAACTAACAAGGATCTGAGACCACATTGAACTCAGGTCCTCCTGACTCCAGGCCTGGTGCTCTATCCTTTGCACCACCTAGCTGTCCCTACCATCACTACTCACAAAGCATTATCCCTGCATAAAGAAAGCCATTAACTTTTACTCATTCATCAAATATACAGTCTTTTCTCATGACAGACTTTTAAATAATGACTAAAATATAAAATGACAAGCAGCGTAGCTGCCAGGAAGACGTGAGTTCAAGTGCTGCCCCTGACACACACTGGCTGTGACCTAGGGCAAACGGCTGCAGGCAACTTTCTATGACTCCAAGTGACAAAGAAGGTGCCTCCTATCTGCATAGACCGTGGGAGTTCTCCTTCTCTAAGAATTCTCTTTATTAATGAAATCACAAGACTAGTCCTCATTTCTATTTCAGCTACATAGTATTCAGTAAGGGATAGCCAAATATCTCAATGTAAGAAACAACTGACCCCAGTTTTTCCCATCTCTATACTCAGTAGAGCTATGGCCATTATGAAGAAATGAAATATAAAATGCAAAAGCAGAGTTGGAATAACTGGTTGTCTTTGCCTCCGAGCTTTCCTTCTCCCTCCCCCTTTTCCCACCTGCCAATTAAAGAGATCCACAGACCGAGTCCAGACTCAGGGCCCCACGGGAGAGACAAAGCACACTCAGTCACTGGAAGACTTAAAAGAACAAGCATTGGGTTTCTTTTTCCTAAAATGACAAGCAAGGGAGGGGACACTTGACCTGATTTTTCTTTCTTTTCTTTTCTCTTTCTTGTCTCTCTTTTTCAAACTTCTTTTACTGATTCGGCCAATAAAATATTACGTAACTTGCGGTGTTTTGGCAGACGATGCCTTTCTGAATACCTCATACTATAATGAAGTGTTTTCAGTATGGATAATATTGCCTTATGGATCGTGGAAGTAAATATATTTTTTCCCCAAAAACAAAATTTTCTGCTCTGAAATTTTAAGTTTCCCAATTAGGAGTCTTGGATAAGCAGTTCTCAGCTACTTTAAGGGATTTGCAAAGTTCAAAGTGATAGCTAATTGCTCCCCCTGGTGGCAGAAGTCCATGAAGTTAAAACTCTTCGAAAAGTGGCACCTAAACTTCCCTGTAACTTTCAATGTTTTCCCAGAAAGCCACACCCTATATGGCTAAACAGCTGGGGCTGAACAGGATCCTTACACAGACGCAATAGACTCATTGCACAACAGAACAACTGACTTTAACTCTGCCCTCAAACTCCAAAGCCAGTGCCCCAGGCACTAAGTTACATCAGCATGTTTACTATGTCACCTCTAGAAGGGATGGCCAAAATCTAAATAGAAAATGCCTTCCTTCCAGCTTCCTGTCATGCCTCCATACAACCTCTGCATCCCCCTAACAATGGCACCTACAGAGACCTTGCCCTGGAAGAGCTAAACCACTTCCTGCCAGGGGCCATGTTTTCTTGATCAGTGAGAGCTCCCTCACATTGCCCCAAATGACAGTCTGTGATTCTCTCCAGCCATCTTCTGGCCATACCACTGGGTATGTACCCTTTTTCCTTTTCTAGCTCTTATTCTGAGAACAATAATCAAATCAATACTACTACTGCTGTGGCTCCACTCACCATCCCAGGGACTTCCCAGAACAAAAAAGCTATACCTAGATACCACTCCTACTATGTGTTCTTATCCCCATTAGAAGGTAAGTTTTGGGAAGATGAGGTGGCCAAGTGGCTAGAGTGCTGGGCCTGAAGTCAGGAAGACTCACTTTCCTGAATTCAAATCAGGCCTCAGACACTTAGCTGTGTGACCCTGGGCAAGTCACTTAATACTTTTGCTTCAGTTTCCTCATCTATAAAATGAGCTGGAGAAGGAAACGGCAAATCACTTTTACCAAGAAACCAAATGAGGTAATAAAGAGTTGGACATCTCTGAAAATGACACAAAAAATTTTTGAGGATGGGGTGGTCTCTTTACTACAGCTGAATAACCAGTGCTTCACACAGTTGCTGGCACACAAAATGAGCCTAGTAAATGCTTTTTCATTCATTCATTCATTCATTTCTGTACTTAAAAAGTACACTTATTATAGGTGTTGAGAGTAATATATAGCTCTCCTTTTGATTCAGGACTTTTAAACTAATAGTCAATGAAAACAAAGCACACTTTTTCACCTTTAAATATTACAATGCTATGAATGTTCACAAAACACCCAACCAGTCAGAGAGGATCTCAGAATCCACACACTCACTCTATCTAGTCTAGATGGCAGTTTTTGTGGCATTCTAGCCTTCCATTCTCTGAAAACAAAGGAATTAAATTACAATTTCTAACATATCTTTCAGAGAAAATGACATTCTTAAATAGCTGTGAAGTTATTCCTCAGAAATCTGACCTGGAGAGGCATAGAATAGGAAGAGGTCTCCATCAGGTGAGAGTCATTTAAAGCCCCTAACATGGAAGGATCCAATAAGGATGAAAGACAGTGACTGGTCTTCAGTCTCTACTAAGCAGGATTCTAGCCTACAAGCACACAGAAACCACCACAACCAGGAACAGATGACCTGATTTCTTATAGTAAGACAGAAGAAGCCTCTTTGCTCTGGATTCTAGTTCACAGAATCCCAGCGCTAGATGAGACATAAGAGGTAATCTAATCTAACCCAAACCTGAACAGAATTTCCCTCCCAAGACTGCCCCATAACATTCCTGATAGTAATCATACAGGTTTTCATTAAAAACCTTTAATGAAAGCATACCATTCCACATTTGTTCAATTTTATTTTGAAGTTTTTCCTTTTAAGAACCTTAAATCTGACTCTCAGTATCATCTACCTTTGGTTCCTCCTTTTTGCTTCTGGGGAGTATTTTTCCCCATATGACAGCACTTCAGATAGCTGAAGACAGGTATCATGGTCCCCTATATGTTCTTTCAGTGTTGTCTGAGGATTAAGGAAATCTGTTCTGTATTTCAAATTATTATTTTTGAATTCTCACATTGAAATGATCAGGTTTTTTTTTTTTGCAATTGGGGTTAAGTGACTTGCCCAAGGTCACACGGCTAGTAAATGTCAAGTGTTTGGTCTGAGGTCATATTTGAACTCAGGTCCTCCTGACTTCAGGGCCGGTGCTCTATCCACTGTGCCACCTAGCTGCCCCAAAATGATCAGTTCTAAAAAAGGGCTGTGTCAATAACCCTGGCATCTATGTATGATGCTCATTCAAATGGAACGTTCTCAGAACTTAGAAACTCAAACAGCTGCAAGCAAAGAAACACAGCTTGATGTTCTGAAAGGCTGGTATGGGGACTTGGCAGCTGTCATGGAAATTATGAAGTGAGAACCCAGACCCTATACTTGGCAAAAATAATAAGTTAAGTTTCCTCAGTCCATGAAAAGATGGAGCCAGATGAACACAATTCTGAGGAAAGCAAACTTTGGAATGCATAGGGTTTAAAGGGGGCTAGTCCAAGGAGAATGGCTACGTCCATATAACAGGTACGCATCCTCTCCTGCACAGCTGGAGAAGCCCACAGCGGGCAGCTGACCCAGAGCTTTCGTTATAATGGGGTATGCAAATTGTGAGGCCTCTGAGAAAGCACAGCCTCTGAGGGTACTCACGCCAGACCACGTGAGTAGTCCCGGAAGTGAAGAGAAACCAGAAGACTGATATAGCTGGGAGGGGAAGGGGGGTGACCTTTTTTGGGTCACTGTGCTCTTTGGCAATTTGGTGAAGTCTGTGGACCTTCTCAGAATGTTTGTTCCTACATTTATAATTGAAGGAAATGAGAAATTTCAGTTATAAGTTAGTGAACAGAAAGATGTAATTTTCACCTCTATCCAAGTTCAAAGATCCTCAGAAATCTATGAACTCCTAAGGGGAAACCTCAAGTTAGGAACGCCTGGAATTTGGGTGTGGGGTGGTACCTGGGTGTGGAGCAACTGCAGGGAGCTATGGGGGAGGGGGGAAACAGGTGATATAAGGGAGGGGAAAAAAGGCATTTCTATGGGGCAGGAAGCAGAAGAAAGGGGAAGGTGTCGGGGGCAGGATGGTATAAGTACCTGGCAAAAGAGAGGGCAAAGACGGGGAGCGGGGCGGGAAGAACAGGGAGGGGAGTGTGTGCCGGGAGTGGGGGTGGGGAGAGGAGAGAAGCAGCTCCCCCAAGGCTGCTGCCAGCTGCACCCTTCCCTACCCCCACCTCTCCCTTGGAATATCGTGGTGCTCAAGAAGGGCCACGGAGAGCACGTGGAGCAGGGGGCTGGGGGCTCCTCCGCAGCTCCCGGGCCGGAGCTCCGCCGGAGGCAGGGCGCCCCCTCCCGGGCGCCAGGCTCTGGGCGCGCCTGTCCGTAAGGAGCGCGTTCCTGCGCCCAAGGGCCTCCGCTCCGCGCGCTCCTGGCCTGTGCCCCCGCCCTCGTTACCTGGCCTCGCACCGCGCCTCGCTCTCCACCCCGTCTTCCCGCTCATCTAATCCTGGGGGGGCTTCCTCCGTGGGAGGGGGCTGGGGGGCGGCGGCGGCCGAGAGGGCCAGCGCCAGTGCCGTCGCCATTGCGCCTCCAGATTCGTAAAGGAGCCGGAGCCGAGAGGAGGCGGACACAGACACAGACTAGGATAAGCGGCGGCAGCGGTATGGAGAGAGAAGCGCTCCCACAAGGACTTCTGGGAGTTGTGGTTCTGCAGTCTTGTCTTGACTTTGGAGAGCAGGCATGGTGAGAACTACAAGTCCACTGGGGCTATATGGTGGGGCCTCCGGTGCATCCTGGGAGCTGTAGTCCTTGCTGGAGGCGACTAGCCCGTTGATTGGGGATTTCCCCAGAGAGCTGACCTTAAGGACACGAGCGCAGGGCTGGGAACCCTGTATGATTCTTCGTGCACTTCATTGCTATTTCACTGTTGAGCTGTCCTTCCCGGAAGTTTTACTGATCCAGCCAGCTTTTACTGTCCTCTCCTTCCTCAGATTTTCGCTGAGCATTGTCTGGAGCTCTCCTTTAACCTCATCACACCTTGTCTTGTATTATAATTTATCTACAGGTCTTTTCATTCATTCACTTCCCTATCACGCTCAGCCCCTGCTGCTACCAGAAAGTAAGCTCCTTGAAGACAGAAACTGTGCTGCTTTTCATCTTTATAACCCCCTCCCTCACCAGTGCCTAGCACAACACTTTAATAATAAAGTTAAATCGAAGTCATTGTCCAATCGAGATACTTCCAAAGGAAGTTTAAGTTCTCTCCACCCTGAACTGTTCTTGGGCAAGTGACTTGACGGACTGCCTCTTGCCCCTCCCCGTACCCCCTCTCCCCACCTCCCGCCTCCCATAACTCTCAGTCCTCTGAGGGCAGAGCACTAGGTGAGGAGCTAAGTGGAATGTGGGTAGTTTCTACAGTGGTGACCAGGGAATGCTAGACCCGGTGAGAAGCAGCAGGAGCCCGGATTGCATAGATGATGCTCCAGCATAGTTTCAACACCTCATTTCTCCAGACTGGTCTTCGCTCACCACCACCCCCTTCCTGAATGGAAAGTTAATACAGTAACAACTCTGGAACTTCACGTCCTTCCTCCACCGACCCTTTAACCACAGTAAATTCTGAGAAAAGTTCGTTCCAATTAAGCCCAGTGGCTAAGGCTGAAGCTTAGGAGTCCAGTGTGGAGTGAGGAAGGCTAGGCTAAAAAAGGGCTGTGGCTGTGATGGGATCCGAGGCGAATTTGGGGTGACAGAGGGATACAGGCTGGGGGCCAGGCTCTGGTCAGTTTCGAGCAATTCTGCTGGAAAGCACACCGCAGGCAGGAACCAGTTCAGTCGTGTACATGACAGCCTGCCTAAACCTCCCTTGGGTCACAATCAGTTAGCGTTCTGAGTAATGAATGAAAGACTGTACATGAAGCAAAGGAGCCCTAGAAAAAGCGGTATCTTGTGATACCAGCTCAAAAACTTGTGGTTTCGCATTGACTAGGGAATAAAATGATTCTGGCATTCAAAGCCTTCTATAATACTGCTCCATCTTATTTTTGCAACTTGCCCTTGTTTACATATTATATTCAGTATTCTAACCAAACTGGACTTGAAGATCATTCCCTCTCTTGCATATTCAGTTTTCCTTTTCAAGGGCTCCCTTCTCAGTCAGCAAAATTTGCTCAGGTCTTCCCTCGTATCTCCCCCCAAAAAACGTTCCCTTGACCCTGACAAGGTCATCCTTTCAAGCTATCATCTTCCTCTCCATAGAGAAATTTTTAGTCTACATCCTTACCTCAACCCCTCATAAACTAGTTTCTATCCCCACCATTTTACAGAAATGACTCTCCCAAGGGCCATTGCCATATTGCTTCAATCCTCCACCTTTTTCAGTCCTTGAACTTCCTATGGCATTTCATACATATTCTTTCTTGAGATCCTCTATTTCTTTGGCTTGGTTGATTACACTTCCATGGTTCTGCCACTTCTCTGACTGCTTCTTGCCTCTTCTGCAGGTTCCTCATCCTCCCATCCCATAAACATAAATATCCTCTAATGTTCTGTTTATAATTTTCTCTGCTCGGTCTAAACTCTACCTTGCTAATCTCATTTATCCCCAGGACTTTCAAGTATCTCCTATGCAGATAACTCCTAAATCTATGTCTTCACCTCCAGCCTCTTCCCAGAGCTCCAGTCCCTGTTTCCAAGTTCCTGTAATACATGGCCATCAAAAAATACCATTACCTTAACTCAACAGATCCTAAACTGAACTGGAAGGCAGTATGGTGTAATAGAAAGAACCTAGGACTTAGAGTCAGAAGAGACTTGGATTCAAACCCCACCTCTTGATATTTAATACCCATAGGAAAATTTATCTAACCTCTGTGGCTTGGTTAATTTATCTGTAAAGTGGAAACAATAATACCTACCTGACATAGGTACTAACCTACTTCATAGAGTTGTGAGGATCAAATATAAGGCACTCTATAAATGGCAACTGTTATTTCTTATTACTACAGTAAACTTTTTGAAAATTGGGTCTGTGTCCAGTGTATCTTGGTACCACCTAGTGCAGTGCATCACACAAGAAAAACACTTCATAAATGCCTGTTATATCAGATTTGCATTGCATCTATGACAGTCTTCACCCACATTTCTCCCAAAGAAATTATGCTAAAGCCTTCCCTCATCTACCCAGTTACACATGATCCCTCTTTCCTTGAATCAATCATACTCTTTAACTTGTATCAGAATTATTTGTATGTCTCCATTCATTCATTCATTCACTCAAGATACATGAAGCCCCTTGTACCTCCAAAGAATGTGCCTTAAGGCACTGGTAGGAAATAGGGGAGGAAAGGGGGAAATGAAATTTACATAAGACTGGGTCCTTATATCCAAGGTTCTTAAGTACTAGAAAGGGGATAGGACCAGAACAGTAATTCTACTACACATAAACAGTGAAGGTACTAGAGTTGCAAAACAAAGCAATATGTGATGTAGGAGAAAGAGTGCCACCAACGAGGGGAGTTAGGAGTAGGGGGGATCAGGGAAAGCTTCATCAACATATAATGCCCCACAGTCCTTCACATCGTAAGGTCCTTGAGGGCAGGATTTGTCTATGACATTTTTGTTTCCCCAGCGATTTTGCGTCCTCAGGGGAATCCAAGGTAGGGTAAGTGTTGGGGAACCATCCTAGAAGCTGCATTCGAGCGCCTTCCCCCTTTCCTTTCCCAAGCTCCCATCTCCAGAGGAGGCGCTTCTGACTCTGGAGCCATTCAGCCTTCCTCATTCCTGGTTGGTCAAAAGGGCGTGCGTATCTCGGGACCCACTTCTGACCCTCCCCACACCTGAACAACAAACTCACTCGCACCCAAGTCATGAAAAAGAATCAATAAACATTTATCTGATACGGTCGTTTTCGTACATACAGGAATCAACTTCTAGCCCGGTCCTCGCTGGCCCCGGGCTTTACAGCATGTACCCTCCGGCTGGGGGGCCTTACCAACTTTCGCCCCGTGCTCGCCGGTGATTAAGGAGGGCACCGATCATTACGCTTGGGGGGGGGGGGGCTCAGCCTCGGGTAGGTCGCCGTTAAAACGCCTCTCGCAAATAAACACTTTGTAGATATAATATATATGTATATATGTGGTTACAAGGGATAAATTGAAACTTTTTTTTTCCAAAATGCACTTATGTCTAAGAACGGGCATAAAAACCAAACGAAGCCCAAAGGGAGAGGACGCTCTGATGGGCTCGGACAGGCGAGCAAGTCCAGGGGTTCCCTCCGGACCCGCTCCAACTGGTGAATCTGAATCGGCGGTGGTGCGGTGGGAAGACAGGGGAAAGCAAGACCTCTTCTAAGTCCAGCCCTCCCAGTCCCAAAATGACTCCAGGGGCAAGGGTCAGAGGCTATTTGGGGAGGGAGAGGAATCTGTGAAAGGGCAGATTTCAGAGCCCTCTTGGGAAGGCTGAGGCAAATGTACTGCCCCAACTCCATCGCCTCTGCACGTGCAAATAAAGTGCATCCTTTTCTTTTTTACCTTGAAATTTTGCCCACCCCTCCTATCTTACCCAAACTCTGCCCCCCCCCCCGATCTCCCTTTTCCTGTGCAAGCGCTGGCCCTCCTCTCTACATACACACACACCCATCCCCCTACCACTGAGGGCTGGATTTGGGTGCCCCAGCGAGGTCAGAGGTAGATCTGGAGGTGGCCTTGAATATGTCAGCGGCAGCGAGGCTGTGTGTGAGTGTGTGTTTTGGGGATAGGGACATCATGAGTCCGGAATTCGGTGCCGGGTGCCGGCGCTCCCCTTCTTGGGGGGGTAGGGGAAGCAGGGGAAAATCACATGTTGCGGGGTGGATAGGTGGAGGGCAGTGGCTGCAGCACTCAAGCCCTCACCAGCCTGAAGCTATTCCAGGTGTGACCCAGACCTGTCCATCCTCACCAAAGCCAGTGAAACCCACACACCCAATTTACCCAGGGGGGGAGTAAAGTGCTAAAATCCAAGTTAATAGGGACCCATCTTGCTCTGGAGTTCAACCCTCCACCCCAGGGATTCCTTGGTGAGGAGCAGTGACCCATAGTCTCCCAAAAGAATATAAGCTGCACGATTGAGGACAGAGACCTACTCTTTCCCATACATGGCAACTACCTCTGCTACCTTCTCCACATACACCTCTGACACCAATAAACTTCTATTCCCAGGAGCCCCAGGATTGGGAGGAATTAGCTAAAGGGTGAGAGAAGACAACCTGAGAGTAGAAGAAATGATGTGTGCATGGAATATATAGCATATACCATCTCTACTCTACCACTAGCCTTCTTTCAGACTTGATCATCTAAGCAAAGTGATCCCTTCTGATACCTCAAAGAGCTCAGTGCTAGGTTGTTCCCCTTCACCTCCCCACCCCCTATTTTCTCTGCATCCCCTCAGCACTTGGCTTTTCTATCTTTTAATTATCAATTTCCTCTTGTTTGTATCTTTAAATCAATTTCCTGTGTTTTCCCTCCTACTGGGGACCTCCTGATGGAAGAGACCAATGTCTCCCCTCTCATTCCAAAGTAAAGCCTAACCCCTCTAAGACCACCACCATATAGGGTCAGCCCCTCCAATGCACCTGGCCTTAAAACCCTAGCCTAGGACATGGAGAACAATGACAGTCTCCCAACCCTAGATTCCCTACTCTCCTTTTATCCCTGCCCCCAGAGGACAGCATCAACCTCAGTCTTGGTCACATACTACTCAGAGGCAACTGGGTCAATTAAAGAATAAGAAGGCTCAGAGGGGAAATTATCTTTGTGAGGTGTATCCCTGAGCCCAGCCTCCCTATGAGGGTCTGTGGGCAGGAAAATACCCTATGTCCACCTCCCCCATGGACCCGTGCTGGGTGGACCCTGCCCTGAAGGCTCTTTTTGGGGGTTGGAGAAATGGCAGCCATGGCCTGAGTCACTAGATACTCAGGCCCCTGGCTGAGTTTCAGTAGCTAGAGGGGGTAGGGGAAAGTGGTCCTGGACCTGCCACTGTGATCCAAATTCTCAACTTCTGAGGCTCAGGGAAGCACTGGCTCCCCCAAGGTACAGTCAGTACCAGGAAACCCTTAGCACCAAAGTGTCAAAGATTAGACAATTTATAGTATAAAAAGGATATAAAATCATTTGTTACTTGTGAAGACAACTGGCTTTCTCACAATATCTAGGAGACACACATTGGGCAAATATAAAAATTCACATCATGGACTGCAGCTCCTGCAAATGGGTCCTTAGGGACCTGGGGGAGCAGAGATCCCTTACCCAACCAGCCCAATTACAGCAGCCCCTTCATGTTTTTAGCTCCATCAAATCTTCCCTCAACTTTAAGGATCTTTCTTCTCTTTTGTTGGAGGAAGGGGGTAGGGTGTTAGAGGGAAGACCCAATGATAAATTGAGTCATAATTATGTCTATTATCTGCATTAATGGAGGGGAGTAGTGATACAGATAATCCATAACAGCAAATAATCTAAAAACAATTTGTGTTTGGGAAGGCAGTGTAAACTTCTGTGTGTATACTAGCCTGACTTCCCTTTTTCATTCTGCCTGCTCCTCATTTCAGGTGACCTTTCCTATATGGACTCACAATGACTCCTAGGAGGAAAACGGGGAAAAGCCAACCTTGACTTCTACAAATTGGCTAGTCCACACCTACCACTTCCTTGTGGGTCCCACCTCGCCTTGACCAGTCTCCATCACAAGCATGTGGTGTAATGGAAAAAGTGCTGGATCTGGAGTCAGAGCACCTTGGTTTAAAGGTCAGCTCTACCACTTTGGGGACCTTAGCTTTGTGGGGCCTCAGTTTCTTCAATGTAAAATGAGGGGGTGGACAAAATAACCTCTAAGGTCCCTTCCAGTTCTAAAGCTGTAACACAATGAGATTAGAACTCCTTCCAATTTCGCAAAGATCCACATTCAATCTTCCCGTGCTGCCTCCAGCTCTCTACCTAGCTCTTTTCCCCATTTAAAGCTGGAGATAAAAGGCCCCAAATGAGATTCTGGGATGAGCCAGATGGCTGGGGGCTAAGAAAATGCTCAAAGGTAAGGTTACAGTGGATGCTAAGTGCTTACTGGGGAGGATATGTTGGGAACAATTCCTGGAGGAAAGCCTACCTCCCATTGCTTTCAAGAAATAAGAATTCATTAACCACCTCACTAGTGCTAGGCGCTCTCATCTTGAGGACACACCCTCCACCACCCACAAAGGAAGTGCCACATACTATCTGATGCCAACCTAGGGTGTCTGAAACCTGTCCTTGAGGTCATTCTATAGGAGGGAGCAGATGAAGAGCTGTGGGCCTTTCCTATCATTAGCATCCCTGGATCTGTCATTACTTATTAACTCTACTTTCTAGTCTCTGAGGCAGCAACCAGCTTGGGCACCATGGTGCAGTGAGGGTGGAAAAAAGCTGTGTACATGGAGTCAGGTTTGGAGTCTGGCAAACGCACTTCATCTCTCTGAGCGTTGGCTTCTCATCTGTCGAAATGAGGGAGTTGGACAAGATGATCTCAAAGCTTCCCTTACAGCTCTAAATTTTATGATACTATGACTGGAGAAAACTGGTGATGGTCAAGTGCAGAGAAAGTAAGGGGGCCTTGCACAACTGGGCTATGTTCTCCTCTCACTATCACCGCCAGTCATGTGTGAGACTGTCACATTCAGAACCTCATTCTTCCAAGAGAGGGGATCTGGAGCCCTGTACTACTGGGTACCAGCACTAGCTTCTGGCAATCTTCCCTTAGCTCCACCAAGGGACTAGAGAAGACAACACTCAGAGAGTAAAGAATGACAGATGGGCAAATCTTCTAAGAGATCGGCTCCCAAGGGAAGTGAATGACAGAAAGTGTTTTTAAGGGTGCCCATATCTGCCCCTCCACCCCACCTCAATATTAGTCAGCCCTTCAATTCTTAGTGTCACTACTATGCCCTCTGGTGGAGGGGAGTAGACAGACACAGAAGGGAGAAACAAGATAGGAAAAAGGATGAGAAGATACAAAGACACTGCCTAGGATATAAGGGATCTATCCAGGAAAGTGGCTAAAGAGGGTCCAGGTTTACAGTGCTGAGAGGAAGAGAAGCCACGAACCTAGGCTGGGTCCTAGGCCTCTTCCCAAGAAACTGCAAGCACCCCTTGACAGAAACATTAATGCCATGAGGGCACAAAGGGGGAGCTCTCCTGAGAACAGGACTAGCACCTGTCCTATCCAGAAGCTGAGAAATCAGGAATGTGAACGTAGGGCCAGTAGGTACAGGAAAGTCCAGACCCTATCATTCTTCAACTAAAACTGAAATCTGTCCCCTCCTCCCAGCAGGGAGAGCTGAGAACCCAGGCAGCATTCCCTTTCCCTCCCCTATATAGCCCTGCCCATTCAGAACAAAGTTCTTTCCTTTCAGTTCCTTTTCCAAATACTGGTATCCCCAAAGTCAATTTACCCCTGGGGATGTGGGAAGAGGAGGGAGGTTTTCTTAGGGCCTCTACCCAGGATCACTCTCAAACATTTTCCAAGCATTCAAAGTCTTGGTTCTGAGAGACCAGGTAGATATGGATCTCTCTCACTCCATCTCCCATATACCCAATGTACAACAGTGTAAGAGAAAATCTTGCTGCTACCTCCTAAGGACACCCCACCCCCACCCCTATTGCACTTTCTTCTCCCTTTGAACACCAACTGGTCCCCTCCAAAACCTGAGCACACTGCAACCCAGGTGTGTGTGTGTGTGTGTGTGTGTGTGTGTGTGTGTGTGTATTTACCTGTGCACACCAACTGGCCCCCTTCCCCAACCTGAGTACACTGTAACCCAGGCAAGCATGTGTATGACATGACTATGCATGTGGATGGACTGACAAAACCTTAGATGGGCTGCCACAGCCTCTCTCAGTTAAACAAGGCTAAGGAACAGGTCCCTGGGAGTGGTTTTCTTCTTCCTTCCAAAGGAATGGCCAGGAGATAAGGAGAAGGATAGGAAAGCCAAAGAACGAGGGATGGGAGATCGGAGCCAGCTCCCTCCTCCCCTCCCTTCTCCTCTCCCTGGCCTGTAAACTCAGTACCCAGTCAGTCTGAGAAGCAGCCTGGCCTCCCCAGACCCCACCCTCTCCCCCAGCCCCAACCTCTGCTCACTTCTCAGGCACCTTACTGGCTCCCGATTTCCGGCTGGGCACCACTCGGTTCCCCTTGTCTCGACCACCCAAGGGCCAATCGTCCTGGGGCTTGGGGGAAGTCTTTGTGGGGGGGCCCTCAGAGGGCCGTTCCTTGGGTTTTCGGCCTCGCTTCTTTCCACTTGATGTGCTTTTCTTCTTCTCCTTGGCAGAGAGCTGCTCCCTACTCTTGGGTTTGGGTGGGGAGTCTGCTGAGGTTCGGAACCAGTTCTATGGAGAGAAGAAGCACCCAGTGAAGCCTAGGGCATTCAGGAGAGATTATTCCTCAGGTCTAGCATGGCTAAAAAGTCAGCTTTTCTTTAAATCTTGGCTTCCCAATCTCACTCTAACTATATGACAGACTCCCTCCCCCCATCCTCCCAGACTCAAACCCAGCCTTTCCTTCCACCCACTCCTGACTCCAGGGGGACCAGACTGGGAACCCTTGTTGGTAGGCTTGTTACAAAGGAGGTTTAGTTAACACTCCATGGTCCTCACCTCTGAATGTGTCTTGATGATGTGGTATTTAACACCGCTTTCAGAGCTGAACTCCTTCTGACACAGGAGGCACCGATACTTTCCCACCAAGTGGTCTCCCTGCAGTATACAGAGCTGGGTTTGTGATCCCCCAAGCCCTCCACCCTGTCCCTGTCTCACAAGGCCTCAGAATATGCTGACAAGCAGTTCTGGAATCTTCAAACCCAAACAAAGGCAGGCAACACAAACATCCATTCTCCACCCCACCCCCAACACATATATACAAATATTCCTCTCCTCCCAAAGGGGCTCAAGCGACAGAGAGGCTGCAGCCCCAAGGACAGTGAAGTACATACGCCTCAGGGGGCTCCATTCAGTGGGCCATTTCTCAGAGAAAAGACAGTAAGCCCCTTAACAATGAGTCTTTGGGGAAGGATGTCCCACCTATCTGGGTTAAGTGGGACACTGGGAATAGGCCTCAATCAGTATGAACCCAGAATGACACAATATACATGAGTCTGATTTCCCTGGGAGCCTTCTCAAGTAGGCCCAGAGTAAGGAGGGTGTTGTAGTCTGGAAAAACGAGGTTTTTCGAGTCTAGTCTTTTCTTAACAGGCTGTCTCTTTCTCAGTCACATCCTCTGTTACTGCCTGTAACCCACTAATGGGTCAGGGAAGCCCCACTCAGACCTGCCTGGGTGAGAAAACGCTCCTCCCCATAAAATACCCAAACTATGATGATAAGGGGAGTGAAGATGGAACTAGACCTAACAATGCGTCATGGCCTTAGGGCAGCCTCTCTCTCCAAAGACCATTGTCAATTCTCAGCTCCTGCCATGACCAGACAGCCCCTATTCTTGAGGTTTTCTAGTTGTATACTTCTCTGTCCTGTTCGAAGTGTCAGTCCTGGGTGGGGAGACCATCACAGTTTGGGAGGTTGTGAGATCCTGCTCTAAAGCCTTCCCTTGCTGCCCCGGCAGCTCTTAGAGCTCCCTTAGGTGTCTCCAGGTTAAGTCACATGGCCTTCCATTAAAATAGGCCAAATAAAAGGGCCTATTGCTTTCAGCATTGATTGGCTCATCTAGTTCTTCTGTGATGTCTCTTCAAGGCCCAGCAATAGACCTGAACAAAGGGGAGGATTTTCTACTACTCTGGATTAACAGAGAGGGCATCCCTTCCTTCAGTTGTACAGATAACTGTGAAGGGATTATTCCCTCCATGTGAACCCCTCTCATTGTGGCCCAGCAACTTCTACACAAGGAGAGGTTTACCACTGCTAAAGCCCCTTTCCACAAACAGAATTCTGGGTGAGGGAATAGGAAACTGACCTTGGTACAGTTGGCCAGGTGGGCTTTCAGCCCAGACACACTAGAATAGATGGCTTCACAGCACTGGGAGGAAAACAGAGGGAGAGGACAGTCATGGGATGCTGCTGCTTTGTTGTGTATAACACTCCCTCCCTTGGGAACCAGTATCACTGTTCAGGTGATAAGGGGGGATAAGAGGGGATAAGATGAGATGGCCTCTGAGGTCTCTTCTAATTCTAACATTCTAAGACTCTATGGGCCTAAGAAACGGCCTGACTCCACAGAAGTACCCACAGGCACATGATCATTCCATACTGTCTCCCTCCCCATAAGAAAGAGTTTCCTGGACCTGCCTCCAAGGAAAGGAGCAAGGGGTTGAGGGTTGGGGTGGAGAGCTCGTCTCTTGTTTGTGTCCATGGGAATCTCAGGGCAAATCCTCATACCTGAACCCCTTCTGTGACCTCTTCTATATGGGCAGTCTGAATGACTGCTCAATGTCCCCAATACTCAAGGAAGCTAGATTGTGACTCATCTACTTCTAAAGCTTCAGTTTGTCTTAAGTCAGGGCTGGGGATACAGGCAGGCCCTTCCCTGGGAAGGTCAAGTCTGGACTCTTTCTTCCCTTTCCCCAGCTTCCCCACCACCTCTTATCCTTACATTATTAGGGCAGTTGACATGACCTCTCTCCTTCACTTCATTCTTCCATGTCTCCAGCAGCTGGGGATTCAGTGTTGGGAGTCCTGGCCGAGTGTAATTAAGCTGCCAAACAATGTGTGTGATGGACGACAGGGCAGCCTTCCCCACACACTGGCTCTCTTTGTAATGGGGGTAGGAGAGCACCAGGTAATCTGTGGCCTGTCCCCTCTCCTCCTCCCACAAATCCCATTCTGTTCAATCATACAATACACTCCTAAGTCATCTACAAACCTGGAACCACCATGGGACAGAAAGAAACCATGCAGGAGGGGATGGAAGGTATTCTCTACAATTACAGCCTGCACTCCAAAGGCCATCCCCACCCCCCCAAGGAAAGTCTACACAGAACAGCAGTATAAACACTAAAAATAAACTGTGTAACTAATACCAGGGCCAGAGAGAGTTAGGTCAGATGCCAAGGAGGTGTGACGTAGACATGGCAATGGGTGCCCAAATGAGGTAGTGGGACAATTTGTCTGGAAACCCAGTCCTTTCAGAGATAGGAGTGGACGTGACTTTTGAAGTCACATGTCAGGACAGTTAAATGGTGACTGATCTTCAAGCAGGTAACTAGAAAAGGTAAATGACCAGCCCCAAATTACTTAGCACTTCCCTCCCCAGGTGTCTCACCCTCTTGGTTTCAGGCACAAGGTCATCCTTCATTCGCCGTTTGGTCCAATCCCGAGCGAGCTCATCCTCTGCAATCTCCTGAAGGTGGAACACTGCCACCTGGGCAGACGTCCGGCGGATCCGTCCACTTGGTGTCCGTTCCATGTCCATCTCAACGTCCTGCTCGGGAGGTTTTCCCGCAGGCTCCTCAGGAGGCTATGCAAGAAAAGGTAGTAAGAGCACATTTTGAGGAAGGCACTGCATTTCTGAGAGTTTATGTTCAGGGAAGTGAACATATGGTTAAGGGGAAGAGGAAAAAGGGTGTCTTACCGGGGTAGGATGCTCTGAGCGGAGGTGGTAGTCATGGCCAGCCTTGGATTTGTAGGTCTTACCACAGTGAGGACAGGTGAACACAGGACTGTCCAGGTCACATGGTTGCTTCCCACAGCGTCTCTGGTGGTACTGATACCCCATGAGACTGGAGAAGGCAGCTGCACAGCCCTGTGGGTACAACATTCACTAAGAGCCAGGAAATCCCACCCAGGGTTAGACCCAGTCACTCTGGGAAGAGGGACCAGAGTCACAGGGTCCCACCAAGTGTCCTTTTCATAATGGGAAACAGAGACACATATAAACTGAAGAACCCTTTTTAATGACAGGCATTGTCCACTGTCTCTTTCAAGCTGACCAGAACAAGTTACTCGCCTGGAGACCCTCCCCAAACTGAGTGATCTCAAACACAAGGGGCACAGAGGATGAGCAGCATGACGGCTGGAGACTCTGGTTGGGGAATTGGAAACTGACCTCATTGGGACATTTGAGTTTCCCCATCTGCTTCAGAACCTTCCTCAAACGCTCCCGTTCCTCTTGTTCATCCAACTCTGAAGACTCCACATCTGTCAGGGGCTGGGGCTGGGGCCAGACAGGGTCAAAGCTAGAGTTAGCATCCTACAAAGGACTTTCCCCTTCACATACATACATACTTTTGCTGTTACCCCCCCCCACCGTGACAGACCACATATACATGCTTCTTCTTATCCAACTCATACATGCATACAATATGTCTCTGTCCTTGTACTACTTCCATACCTCAATCCCTTCCAAGCAACACACACACGCGCACACACACACACACACACACACACACACACACACACATATGCACAGGTCTGTCCTATGTATACATACTCTTCCACCATCCCTAGAATCACATCCTCCTTCCGACTAGTAATCAAAAAGTTTATCTAATGTAAATGCCAAGGAGGGGTAAGAAGATGATGATTCACCAGCCTTTCTTAGGCAGAGGGATGTAGCTGGGGAGTGAGTTAACGGGTCAATGGGCTGAGAGGGCAAGTGTAATCAATATAAGGAGAGGGAACAGGGTTGGTGGCAGGGGTGAGACTGACAGTCATACCTTGCTGCTGTGTTCCGCCATGGTATGGTAGTTGAGCCCTGCCTTTGACTTGAACTGCTTCTTGCAGTGCTGACACTTGAGCGCATCCTGCAGCTGGACAGCCCCCCACCCCCACTCCCAGTCAGGCATGGGGGCAAGGGACAAGAGGAGACAAAATCCACTCCCTCCTTCATTGTCTCCCTTCCTTCCTTCAAGTCCTGGACAGAATGGGCTCCAGGCAAACAAGAGGCAGCTGTCTTGACTCCAGGACACCTGGGTCCTGCTGCATCCTCAGCCCTGGGCCCCAGGGGCTAACCTCATTCTTACCTTCTGACAAACATCCATGTGCTTTTTGAGGCCTACAATGGTTTTCCTGGTGATGACTCCACAGGTGGGACAGACGACCTCACCCTTCTCATGGAGGATTCTTTGCCACTGCTCTTCAGGGCTCCCTGAAAGGCAAGAAGTAAGGGATGTACGGAGAAAGGGATGAGAGGGATCTGGACAGGAGAGGAAGAACATACATTGCACCAATCTTCACACTCCAGAAAGCCTGTGCTCAGATAATGATATGTACTGGTTTTCTGCTCAGAAGTAAGTCTATGTCTTGCCCACTCACATCTGATTTCTCCTTAGAACCTGCCTGCCCAAAATCATTCCCCTTCCACATTTATAAGACCATGGGAACACACTGCATTTTGAAGCTTATCTGGGCCTCTTTTTCTCCGTACCTCCAAGAGCCAGCACAGTTCTTGGGACTGTCCTGGGACCCTTAACCCTGCCCTGGCCTTTTCCCCAAGCCATCAGAGAAGACGGCGGTAAACAGCATCAAGAGCTGGATTTGGTGCCAGGAAAAGCTGTGTTTGAATCCTATGACAGACACTGTGTTACCCAGGACAAGTCACTTAACCTCTCTGACCTTTAGTTCCTTAGATATAAAATGGGGATAATCCCAGGCTCATTGTCAAGTGCTTTGAAAATCTTAATAAAAATGTGAGCTATCATTATTATTAGGACCACAATCAGCCCATTCTTTGGCATTACTCTTCCCTAAGCTGGGGGAATTCCTTCTATCCACTCACCTGTGCTCAGGTGAGCTGTGGCTATAGGTACCACTTCTTTCTTCACATTAGCTGCCAAGACCTTTTTCCTCCCCTCCTCAGCACTGCTGCTGGCTTCCAACTTCTTGGCACGGTGGGCTTTGGCCTTGTCCTCTGCCTTGGCAAGGCCTGGGAGGGACAAGGATGTCACTAACAGACCCACCATAATGTCTAGCGCCCCAGTCCCAAGTCCCTTTTGGATGCACCATGATCTGCAGTCATACCTCCAGGCCCTACCACAGGCTTCAGGGAGATACTGAGGGTTTCTCAGGAAAACACAGAGCCCCACAGATATCCCCTCCAGGCCGGTTTCCCAGGAATAGTCAGCAGATAGGGTAAGCAGCCTACCTGATCTCCCTACTATGCTAACCCAAAGGACTTCCCCTTTGATATCTCTGGGGTCCTGAGTCTGCCATTTCAGCACTGAGCCTCAGGGACTTTCCCAGAACTCTAACCCAGGGGCCTCACACGCAAGGGATATTTTTACATTATATACATGTGGATAAATATAAGCTAAGCTACAAGAACATCTGACACAAAATTTGACCTTACTAAGCAGCTATATTAAAGGAAAACAAATTATTTTACAAAAAAATGTCTTCAGATCAAAGGATGAAAAGTTGAAAGAGACCATAAAAATCACCCCGTTCAACCTCCTCATTTGACAGATGAAGAATCTTCTGACAGCATTCTGTTTTTCACCTCCCAACTTACCATATAATGTTAAATATTATAGTTATGTGTGCAAAACCAAATGATCCATATGCTAACTAGGCAGCAAGCTCAATGAGCAAGCTCCATAGACTGTCTCAGCTCAATTTTGCATCTCCCTCAGAATGTAACACAAGGTTCTACACATAGCAGGAGGTTTGAGTTATTGTTTATAAGGCTAGGTTTTACATATGTGTGTGTGTGTGTGTGTATACACATATATATCTCCATAGGATACAACTCATACCCATGACAGTAGAAATTAGACCAAGTATTAATTAGAATTAATTTGTCCCCAAGAGATAAATGGTCAAAAAATAGAAGTTTTGAAAAGAAGAATTGCAAACTCTTGACAACCATATGAATGACTGGTACAAATCACTCATAACAAAGAAATGCAAATTAAACCTCTGAGGCTTCATTTTAGATCCATCAAATTGGTAAGATGATAAAAATAAAATAATCAATGATGGAGGGGCTACAAGAAAGAAAGACAGGCACACCAACATATTGTTGTTGGACCTACAATGGTCTGGTTTCCACTCTGAAAAACAATGTGGAATCATGAAAGAAGAGTCACTAAAATGTTTATAAATTTAACCTAGTAATTCCTCTGCCAAGCATAGATTCCAAGGAGGTCAAAGACAGAAAGATCCCACACACACCAAATATGCATATATATATATATATATATATATATGTATATGTATATAGCATTACGCCTCTTCTCCCCTTCATAGCCAAATGCCTAGAAAAATATGTCTCTCTTCATTGCCTCTATCTCCTCTTTTCTCGATCACTTCACTTTTTAACTGTCTGCAATCTAGAAGTCATCTCCTACCCTTCACTCTCACTCATCTGACACATTCAGTCAGCTGCCAGGCCTTGTCAATCCTCCTTCCACACTAGCTCTCGTATCTGTTCCCTTCTCTCTATTCACACTACAACCACATGAATCCAGATCACACTACCTCTCATCTGAACCATTTGCAGGAGCCTTCTAAATGCTTCCCTGAATCCTACCTTCCTACTTTCAAATTCACACCACAGCCAAAGTGATATTCCTAGAACACAAGTCTGACCATGTCATTCTTCCCCTCCTTGATGCCCTAACGCTGTCAACAAACTTTGGTGCCTTCCTACTACCTGAGGATAAAATACAAACTCCTTTAACATTTAAAGTCTTTCATAATCTGGCTCCAACTTCCCTTTTTCAGGCTTTATTGCATATTATTCTGCTTCATATACTCCATATTTTAGAGAAACTAGCTTTTATGGTAGCCATCCATAATATTCCATTTCTCACCTCTCTGGGTCCTTGCATCATGCAGGTCTGGAATGCACTTTACTTTCTATGTCACAGAATCTCGTTTCCTTTAAGGCTCAAGTACCCCCTCCTATATGAGGCCTAACCTGATCTTCACAGTTGCTAGTACCTTCCCACATCCCCCAGATGTTACTTTGTATATATTTTGTTCTGAAGTGTCCATGTTGTTTCCTCTAATAAAATGTAAGCTCCTTGAGGGTGGGGTATTATTTTTGTTTTTTTTTTTTTAGCCCTAATGCCTAGCATATAGTAAGCACATAATAAATGCTTGTTGAATACATGAATGAATAGTAGCATTTTTGTGATAGCAAAAAATAAACACAGATTGACGAATACTATTTGTTCTTTTCTTTCTTCTGTTTTGTTTCTTCTTTCTTGTGGTTTTTCCTATTGGTTCTAGTTCTTCTTTACAACATGACTAATGTGAAAATATATTTAGTAGGAATATATATGTAGAGCCTATATCGGATTGCACGCCATCTTGGGGAGGGAAGGGGAGAAAATTTTAAATTCAAAAGCTTATGGAAGTGAATATTGAAAACTAAAAATAAATTAATTAAAAAATAAAATAAGAAAATAAAAAACAAAGTGGGTACCTATTAATTGTAGAATAGCTAAACAAATTGTGGTAATGAATATGATAGAATATTATTGTGCTATAAAGATCAACATCAAGATATTTAGAGCAGCACTTTTTGTAGTACCAAAGAACAGGAACACAATAGATGCACATCCACTGAGCAATGGATAAACAAACCTTCTTACATAATACAATGGAATATTACTGTTATAAGAAATTATAAATACAGAGAAACATTAGAAGTTTTACATGAACTGATACAAAGTAAAGTAAACAGAACCAGGGAAATTATACACGTAATTACTGGAATAATGTAATGGAAAGATCCAAAAAAAAAAAACAACCAAACAAGTTAACACTGTATTTATAATGATCAAGCTTGGCTCTAAAGAAGAGGTGAAATAATCAACCTCCTACTCTTCTTGGCAGAGGTGAAGGACTATGGTGCATAAGACTGTATATATTGTCAGATTCAGTCGATGTTCCAATAGTTTTGCTGAATTACTTTTTTTTGTCTTGGAAAAACATATTTGGAAATGAAGGTGATATAAAAATAAGATTTCTTTTAAAAAAATGACAGATATGGGCAACTCAGTGAAACATGTAATGTAGACAGAGTAAAGAACCAGGGCCACAATATAAACAATGATTCCCCTATTATAAAGGAAAAAAACACGAAGAAGGCAACTGCATTCTAAATAACTGTAATGACTAATCTTCATTCTGGGGGGCTACAGGTGCAACATATTGAATACACTGTCAGGCAAGGTCACAGTGTGTATTAGTTGTTTTCTTTGTTATAAGGTAGAGTTCTATAATGGAGGAGGGGGGGAGCAAAGGGGGAAGGGAATATGTCTAAAAGCAAATGATGTAAAAACAAAAGGCATTAATAAAACTATATAAAATTAGTTTGGTCATTTGTTAATCGGAACAAAGCTGCCCATCTGTTATTTAGAGTGTTGCTGGCAGTTCTGGAACAGTCATTAGTAGGCTTGGGTCAGAACCTAATTCTCACGACAAATGAAAATCACTGACTCTGAAGACTTCTAGAAATCCAATTCAAGTGTGTTGTTACTTCCTTCAAAACTAATGAAGCTAAGGCAGGCAGGAGAGCTTGGCTCAAACAAACAAAAAATCCCCTCCTAGAATATCTCTGGAATTTATCCAATCTCCAGTCTCACTGACACTATCACAGTATAAACTCGGATTATGATCACCTTGGATTGTCACAGCCTCCTAAAAGGTCACTTCTATTCTCTTCCCCCATTTCATCTTTCATTCTTCGGTCAGACTAACATATAAGTAAATCTTGTCATGTCATCTCTTTGCCCCCAAATCTTCAACTACACTTTTTTTTTTTGATGGTGAAGCTTGGTGAAGTAGAAAGAACACTGAATTTGATGTCAAACAACCTATGCTCGCTCATATCCTGACTCTACTGCCTTTTGCCTGTATAATCTTGGGCAAATTAATTCTCTGGGCCCCAGTTTCCTGAATTGTAAAACTAGAGGGTTGAACTAGATTAATTCTAAGGTTCCATGTGGCTCTGAATCATTTTAAGATCCCACTGCATACTGAATGAATCAAACTCCTTGGTCTGGCATTTAAGGCCGTCTGTAATCTGGCACCAGCCCACCTTTCCAGTTTTCTCTAACATGATTTTGTCCTCAACACATTACACTTCAGCCAAAACAGCCTATTCTCTATTGCCCAACCACACCCTGAAATCTCCCACCTCAATGCCTTGGCCTGAACTCTTCCCTATGTTTGCAACATCTTTCCTTTGCCTCGTAGCCTGATGCATTACTACCCAGGCTTTAATGCCCTACTCAAATGCCAACTCCCCTCCATGAAGCCTTCTTTGAATCTCCTGATCAGTAATGACCTTCCCCCTTGGAGCTACCTCAGTGAAAAATCTGTTTTGTCTTTCTAATATGCTTATCACTGTCGTATTTTGCATTATGGTCACCTGTGTTTGTGACATCCCCTTACTAGACTGGACAGTGCTTTGCCCTCAGTATGACCTTAATAATGTTTGTTGAATCATTCATAAAAATCTAAATAGGACCTTGAAGGTGCTAATTATTCTCCTAGAGTATTGGGTTATACACACTTGGGTGAGTGGGTATTTACAGCTATATGAGAATAATTGGGGACAGGATTACAGTAATGGATATATCTGACAAGTGACATAATGGGGCCAGGAAGGCACAAAGGTACTGTGCTCCTGGCATAACCTAAATCAGGAATTCTGGCACCTGAGTCAAAATCAGTCAAGAAGGAAACTGGGGTGAGGTGAGGAAGGTGTAAGGTATGGCCACTCAGACAGAAACCTAGTGCATGTGAAGTGAGGACTAGTGAAGAACTAGAAGGCCAGGGTATTCAAAAGAGGAAGAAGTTAAAGTGCCAAGTTAGAGTAAACTAGGTTCTGAATTCATAAGAAGGAATAACTCAGAGTTCCATAAATGACAGCAACAAGAATCTAGATAGGATTGTGAGACCATAAATTTAGAGTTAGAAGAGACCTTAAGAGCCAATTTATCCATCTGTCTGATTTAACAGATAGGGAAACTGAGGCCCAAAGCGATAAATGACTTGCCCACGATCACAGAAGTAATAAGTGATGCAGTGGGAAAAGCACCTGATTTTGAGTTAGAGGATCCAGGTGCAAATTATGCCTTTGACACCTGGGTGACCTTGGGTTTTCGTTTCCTAATCTGTAAAATAAAGGAGTTGGGATAGATGATCTTTACTGTCCCTTTTAGCTCTAAGTTTATAATTCTATGATCCCAAAAGACAGAGGTCAAATTGATCCACAGTCTCGAGACTCCAAATTTCAATATTCTTTCCTTTATACCATGCTGCCTTTCTATTGACTAAACTTACTATCACTCTACAACTTTTCCCCCTAAGCCCTATGCTTCCCTTCTCTCCTCAGTTTTATATTTCCCTTCGCTGACAGAGTCACAGACTTTGCCTCTCCCTCATTTTCCATCACTCTTACAATAGTATCACACATTGCCTCAGATATTCAATTATGCAGCAATGGGAATGGGTTGCTAAGAAAGACTGTGGATGTTCTTTCCCTGGAGACCTTCAAAACTATGAGAGATACCATTCTGAATGGGACTGTTTAAATTGGGCCCTACTTGGAGGCCAAGGGAATTAAGGAATTCTAAAGATCCTGTACTCCCAGGGACTCCACAATCTGTAAATAGGTATCCCTTCTGATCACTGCTGGGCCCATCGTAAAGTATCTCCAATTTGCAGAGCCTTGCACTCTTGTTGGCAAAGCTTCCATTAGCATGAGACCAATCCATGTGAAAACATGGCATCAAAGTAAACTAAATTTGAAGACATTCATCACCAGGCAAGCCACAAAGTGATGAATTTTTTGGATCACAACTTTCAAACGACCATTTTGGAAGTTGTGGAGATAGTGTAATAGGTTGGTTCCAGAAGTAGTCTCATTGATGAAAACACAGATCCATGAAATACTAAACTAAACTGAACTTCTTAGAAATCCAATCATCATTTCATCATCATTCCTATTATTCTCTGGCATAGATGTAATATCCTGTTCCTATATTTCCCACTCACCTCCTCCCAATAAACTCTTCCATCCGGTGACCCTGGCCTCCTTATTGTCCCTCACACATATGACATTCCTTCTCCTGACTCCAGGCAGTTTCACTGGCTCTTCCCCATGCCTGGAATGCTCTCTCTCCTCATCTCTGCCTCCTGGCTTCCTTCCTCCTTAATCTCAATGCCTTCTCTCTAAGTCTACTCTCAATCCATCCTGTATATGTCTTGTTTTCACATAGTTGTTTGCATGTTGTCTCTCCTCCATTAGACTGTGAGTTCCTTGGGAGGAAGGGCTGTTTATTCTTTGCCTATCTTTATATCTCCAGTGCTTAACATGTGCCAGTAGATGCTTAATAAACACTAGCTGACTAAATGACCATCTTCTAAAGCCTCAGTAATGGAAACAATATTGAGCATGTCGAAAAAGAAGGAAACATAGAGTTAGAACAAAGGAGACTCTGACTACTCTAACCCTGAAGGAGAATGCATTCCTCTGTTAATGAGAGCGTTTTTCTGATAGTGTGTACAACAGACACAGTAAAAAATCATTTCTACTCTTGGTTCTATCACACTAAGCAGTTAGGACTAGTCCAGGGGTGGGGAACCTGCGGCCTTGAGGCCACATGTGGCCTCTAGGTCCTCAAGTGCCGCCCTTTGATTGATTCCAAACTTCACTTCTGGTCATACTTGAGGACCCAGAGGGCCACATGTGGCCTCAAGGCCGCAGGTTCCCCACCCCTGACAGTCACTTCTCTGTCAAATTCTATTTCTTTCCTGGTAAAAATAAGATGAGATCTTTATTTCAGACTCTTCAACAAACATAGCTATACTATGCAATCTGCCTATAACACATTCCACTTTCATTCACTGAAAAAAAAAAAACCACTCACTGAAAATCCACTTTGTGTGAAGCCCTGTTCCCTTACAATTCAGCAGGGAAATGACAGGCATGAAAACAACCAAAGGACAAGGAGTTTATGACAAGCAACGCATGAGGGTATTCTAAGGTGCTAGGATCAGGACTACAGCTCAGGTCTCTTGAGTCTGAGACCAAAGTGGGGCAGCTAGGTGGTGCAGTGGATAGAGCACTGGCCCTGAAGTCAGGAGGACCTGAGTTCAAGTCCAGCCTTAGACCAAACACTTGACACTTACTAGCTGTGTGACTCTGGGCAAGTCACTTAACCTCAATTGCCTGAACAAACAAACAAACAAAAAAATAAGACCAAAGGCCTAACTTGCTGTGGAGTATCAAGCAAATTAAGACACCACTAACAGGCCTCAGTGCCCTCATCTCTCAGAAGACTGGATCATATACCAGATCATGTCAAAGGTCCATCTATAACAGTGGTTCTCAAAAAGTGTGCCACAAATTAACCTTATAATTAATTGCATATATATGCATGTGTCTCCTAGCTCTTCCCATCGTGTTGCCACCTTTCACACTTGGTATACACTGTGTCACCTTGGGTGTCACCTGAGGGTATGGCACATTAAGCTCCCATTTATAGAGGGCTTTGCTGGCATGGCTGGGGGGGGGTTGACATCACGAAGTCTGGTCTTTCCATCCATCCCCTCCCCCTCATCTTGATGATTCTCTTCCTTACCCTTGCTGTTGTCCTTTGCCCTCCTGCTATGACATAGAACCTGTATTATGTGTAAAGAATGGTGCCGGTTCTAGGGCTATATCCCAAAGAGATTATACAAATGGGAAAAGGACCCACATGTACAAAAATATCTATAGCAGCCCTTTTTGTGGTGGCAAAGAATTGGAAATTGAGAGGATGCCCATCAATTGGGGAATGGCGGAACAAGTTGTGGTATATGAATGTAATGGAATACTACTGTGCTATAAGAAATGATGAGCAGGCAAACTTCAGAAAAACCTGGAGAGACTTGTATGGTCTGATGCTGAGTGAAGTGAGCAGAACCAGGAGAACGTTGTACACAGTAACAACCACGTTGTGCGATGACTAATATTGACAGACTTAACCCTTCTCAGCAATACAAGGATCTAAGATATCTCCAAAGGCCTCATGATGGAAAATGCTATCCACATTCAAAGAAAGAATTATGGAGTTTGAATGCAGATCGAAGCATCTTATTTGCTTTTTTTTTCTTCTGTTGTGTTTTGTTTCCTCTTTCTGGTGGTTCCTCCCATTGGTTCTAATTCTTACTTACAACATCACAACATCACTAATGTGAAAATATATTTAATAGGAATGTAAATGCATAGCCTATATCAGATTTCGTGCCATCTTGGGGATGGAGGTGGGGAGGAGGGGGGAGAAAAATTTAAAACTCAAAAGCTTATGAAAGTGGTTGTTGATAATTCAAAATAAATTAATTTAAAAAAAAAAAGAATGGTGCTGGGCCTTGGGGAAGAGTCCTTACCTTTAAGACCAAAGGTCCCTGAGATCGATGGCTGCTCCCCAGTGAACTTCTTAGGCGTTTTTTGTTTCCTTCCTGACTCAAGGGAGAGAAAACAAGAAGACCAAATCTGGTCAAATAACCATAGAGAAAAGGGTTAACCTCTAGTGCCACCCCTCATCTAATCAGTCTAGGGACCTTTCCACACCTCAAGGACCATTCCTACCCAGCTATATCAATGCCAGGAATGGTACAGAGGGGACTCCAGCCCCACCACCCTCACAGCAAAGGTGGATGTGGAGACAGATGTAGGTATGAGGGTTCTGAGGTGTTCCCCCTTGCTCATCCTGGGCTCTAATCTTACTGTGCTTGGAACGCTCGGGGTCCTCTTCTGGGGGTGATACTGGGCCTGTGACCTCTTTGCTGCCTGTAGCTTTGGTAGCAGGTGAAGCAATGGCCTCCGCTGCAGTCATATGGAAGTCCTTACTCTCACATGTGTCTAGGGCACACTCTCCATTCTCCGGGTGCAGATCCCCTTCCTTCTCCAGCTTTGCCTGTTTTGGATGGACGGGGCAGGTGTCCAAGCCCTCGGCAGCCCTGGAAGTCATACACACAGTGACCTGGGGGAGTGGGCCTGGAGCCTTAAAGCAGTTATCCCTCTTATCCATTCCATCCTGTAGCTCAGTGGCCTCTCTCCCCATACAAAGCAGTACCCCAACCCTGCTGAGATGCTGGGAGAGACAGATACCAGACATAGCTCTCCTCATCCATATGTACCTCTTCTTACCACCGCTCCTTCCCACAGTTCTTTGCACTCTGCTTTCTGGCTTGTTCAACGGCAACACTTTGCTGGGTGATGCTGATTTGCTGATTGGAATAGGCTTGCTGACAAGGACAGGTTTGCTGGGTGGGAAGGGCTTGTTGATTTGGATGGACTTACTGGATGGGAAGGGCTTGCTGGGCAGGATAGGTTTGTTTACTGGCACCGGCTTGCTAGGCAGGACAGATTTGCTCACAGGGACCAACTTAGTAACTGGGACTGGCTTGGTGACTGGGACAGGCTTGGTGACTGGGACAGGTTTGCTGACTGGGGTCACCTTGGTGACTGGGACTGGTTTGCTGACCGGGACAGGTTTGCTGACCGGGACGGGTTTGCTGACTGGGACCGGCTTGCTGACTGGGATCGGCTTGCTGACTGGGACCAGTTTGCTGACCGGGACGGATTTGGTGACCGGGATCGGCTTAGTGACCGGAACTGGTTTGGTGACTGGAACCGGTTTGGTGACTGAAACCGGCTTGCTGACCGGAACTGGCTTGGTGACCGGGATCGGCTTGCTGACTGGGAGTGGCTTAGTGATGGGGACCGATTTGCTGACTGGGACCGGTTTGCTGACTGGGATCGTTTTGCTGACCGGGACTGTCTTAGTTACTGGGATTGGCTTGTTGGTCTGTACTGGCTTCCCAGGAGGTGCAGCTTTAGGCAGGGGGAAAGGCCTGCTGGCTGGGACAGGCTGGTCCATGTGATTCCACAGTCTGTGCTTCTCTAGCTGAGTCTTGGAGGTGAAGGCAGCTTCACAGTAGGGGCATGGGTATGTCAGCTTCTCAGAGATGGCACCCTGAAGAAGAAGGAGCAGACAGAGCCACATGTGCCCAGGGATGATGGGACCATAGAAACAGCGCAGGTCCTGTAGGGGATGCTCTCACTAGGGGCAATGCAGCCCCCAAGTTCCTTATCCCCAAATCCTGAATAGCACAAGGGAGGTGGAGAAATACAAGGAAAGTCCCATTCTTTGACCTTTCCTTTCTGCTCCCAACTACTAACCCCCAGCCTCAAGCCAGAGGCAAAAGGAGGAGTGTTATGGCTCTTTTTCGTTCCCCCAGAAAATAAACAAAGCAATCAGACATGTGGGCAAAGAAGAACAACAAAAGCAGGGTAGGCTGAACTTGAAAAGGTAGAAAAAGAAAGCTTGTAAGATAACTGATACACCTCTATTATCATTCATCTCCCATAGAGCTCAACATAGAGCCCGTTCACAGCAGACACACTGGTCACATGTTACACATGTGTTCAATATAACAAACACATAGCCACACATGCAAATGCTATATACTATCCTGTCCATTTCCATGGCACCAGAGGCAAAAATGCCACCCTGACTACATTCATTTAGTCATTTAATGAATATTATTTAACACCTAATGTGTGCAGGGTCTTATGCAAGGCACCAAGAGAGACACAGAAAAGAACAAGACATCATCCCCACCTTCAGTCTAGTAGAAGAGCTAAGACATGGATACACAACTAGAAGACAAGGTAAGATGTCAATGTGCTACAAGAGAGTGAGGCAGGGATTGAGAGGAGGAAGGGACCGAGTCTGGCTGGGGGGATCTAGAAAGACTTCCTGGAGGAGGTGGCCTTGAAGGAGAGAAAGGAATTAGACAGATGGTAACAGTCAGGGAGGAAAACTGTGAGCAAAGGCATGGGCATAAGAAAAGGTTGGAAAAGGTAAGAAAGAAAGAGGCAGGATTATTTGGTTGTGGGGATAGGGGGATAGCTAAAAACATCAGCAAACTTCTCCAAAGGACTCCAAGATTCCTGAGGTGTTGGAGAGAGGGAAAGAAAGAGGAAGAGATTGCTTCCGTATCTAAGTGGGAGAGACTAATAGCTGGCAAAGACAACATGGCCAGAAAGCTCCTCAGGTACCATAACTTGCAGGGATGACTCAAAAATACTGCTATCTTAACCTGGAAACACTCATTCTGGTAGCTAAATAAGGAAGGAGTAAGAGAGGGAAGAGGGCAACCCCTTTGGGATTCCCGAGGAGGATCAGCAGAAGCAATCCCAGAAGCCAGGCATGGGGACAGGGGAGGAAAGAGAAGGAAAAGCAACTGTGGGGATTCAGGGCAGGGGGAAGATGAACAAAAGCAATCGCAGAATTGAGGCATGGGAATAGGGGAGGAAAGAGAATGAGGAGCGATATTGGGACAATCCACAAACAGAGCCCATTAAATACAAAGGTTGTCCCTTGAGGTGAAATCATATACCACTGAAAATCATGTCCTCTAGGTCTGGTCGTTACATACAGATTTCTGACCTTTAAAAAGATGTTCATACAGAAACACTCATGATGTGTGAAGAAACACAGAAGTGCTCTGAAATATGCCAGCATCCAAAATAGATATACTTTGATTTGTATAATGCTCCTCCCAAAAACAAACAACACCCAGAACCTTTCAGACAGACAGTGGGCCCATGTATTTTTATGCTCCCATAAGTGTAATGCTTTATAAATTTAGACTTGAGGTTTTAAGCCCAAAGTCCTTATCACTAAATCTCCCTGCTCCATCCCTGCTCCCCTATCTCTACTAGTTTCTCTTTATTCTTCCCAAATCCTAAACTCCATTTGCATTAAGAAGACTTATAATATACCTTTTAGCAGGCCCCACTACCCAGTCAATGGTCTTACCCCCTGGCAACGCTGATAATGATACTTGAGTCCATAAATACTTGGGAATTCCAGCCAGCATCCTGAATTTGGACACTTCACCCGAGAGTGGGCTTTGAATTCATCCTTCCATTGGTTCATCAAAGACAGCTGTGGTAGAAAAGAGATGGAAATATACGGGAGTTTATATTGTGTCTTATCTAAACTTTGCCCCAATCATAGTGCATCGATTTGCACACAGCAAACATTTAACCAATGTCTGTTGAATAAAATTGAGGCCAGGTGACCTTCCACTCTCCCATTTGATAACAGGGACATCAGTTATCTCATATGCTTTTCTTTCCTTCCCTCTTCAAATTTACCCCCAGATCAGCCCTTTTCCTTCCTCTTTATCCACATATCTGATTTCTTTATTCATTCTCAGGGGGAACAAGAGAGAACTAAACCATACTTGACCTACCTCCCTTTCAGGAAGGAATAATGACAGGATGGACCCTCAACCAGGATAGGGTTCACTAGCCCCCAGTCCTCTTTGCTGTATCAAATAAGCCCTGGGGAGGGAAGAGGCCACTACAAAAAGCTACATGGCTCTGTCAGGGCCCCTTGCCTTAGGACTCTAAGGACCTTAGTTGGCTAAAACTTCAAAGACCATTTGCTTTAAAAAGATTTTGTTCAATCATTTTTCAGCCATGTCTGACTATTCATGACCCCAGTTGAGGTTTTCTGGCAAAGATACTGGACTGGTCCACCATTTCCTCCTCCAGCTCATTTTACAGATAAGGAATCTGAGGCAAATAGGGTTAAGTTACTTACCCAGGGTCATACAGCTAATAAGTGTCTAAGATCAGATTTGAATTTACAAAAATGAGTATTCATTACACCAGGCATAGTACTCTATCCACTGCACCACCTAGCTGGTTCTTTAAAGAGATAACTTAGAAATTAGAAGGAGGCAGCAGGGTATACAGGGAAAGAGCACTGCCTCTGTAGTCAAAAGTAGTAAGGTTCAAACCCTGCCTCTGATGCTTACTACCTGTGTGACCTTAGGTCACACACTTCACTTTCCTGGGTCTTAGTTAATTCATTTGTAAAATGAAAGAGTAACACAAGATGGCTTCTAAGGCTCCTTCCAGCTCCAGAGAGCAGTGATAAAGCACCTGAAAATCTGCAGAGTACTTTACAAATATTATCTCATTTTATGCTCACAGCAACCCCGGGAGGTAGGTGCTATTATTATCCCTATTGTACAGATAAGGAAACTGAGGCAGACAAATGATAAAGATAAGTGACTTGTTTAAGGTCATATGGCTAAGTAAGCAACTGAGGCCAAATTGGAACTTCTGACTCTGAGCTCAGGGCTCTATCCACTGTACCACCTAGCAGCTATTTTATTCTTTTTTTAATTTTTTCAGCTATTTTATTCTTTTTTTTTTTGTTTGTTTGTTTGGGCAACGGGGTTAAGTGACTTGCCCAGGGTCACAGCTAGTCAGTGTTATGTGTCTGAGACCGGATTTGAACTTAGGTCCTCCTGACTCCAGGGCTGGTGCTCTATCCACTGCGCCACCTAGCTGCCCCCAGCTATTTTATTCTTAAGGAACACAGATAGTATCCATTGAGGGGGATGAAGGGAGGCAGAGGTGTTTTCACTGAAAAAAGAACCTTAGATTGGCAGCATCCTGGATAGTGAAGGGTCAGACACAGGGTTAGACAAGGCTTGCCAGGGGCTCAGGGAGCCAGAGCAGTGGTAACAGTTTTATGTCAGAAGGGTAAGGAAAGGAAAGAACAGAGACAGGGTTCCAGGTTGGGGAGAAGCTCACAGGAATGTCTCTCAGTGCCTGGTTCTCGACCTTTGGCCGTCCTTTCTTCCTGCCCTCCATCTTGTCACTGGTAGAATTTCCTGTGAACAAAGCAAAGGCAAGGACTGCTGAACTTGGGAAGGAAGGAGATGCTCTCTGCCCTCTCCCTACCTCCCCACTAAGAATTAGTTTCTGCTCAAAACTGAAACAGGGTAATCACATCCCTAGAAGAGCAGAGTTTATTCCTTTAACGATTCCTGTGCATTCTTCTGGTAATGAAACTAATGCCTCCTTAGATCTAAGGTTATCTCTTTATCTATGATACATGTATCCTAGATATATCTATTTATATGTTTTCTCCTCCATCAAGCTTCTTGAGGGCAGGGACTATTTTTGCCCTTTTTTTGTACCCCTGACACTTAGCATAGTGACTGGTACATAGTACGTGCTTAATAAATACCAGCTAAAATACTGAAGGGGCTATGGGAAAACAAGCATATTAATACAGTATTGGTGGAGCTGTAAATTGGTCCACACATTCTGGAAAGCAATTTAGAACTGTGCCCCAAAAGTCACAAAACTGTGCATACCCTCTTTGACTCGGCAATACCACTAGTAGACCAATATACCAAAGAAATCAAAGAAAGAGGAAAAAGAGTCATATATACAGAAATATTTCTAGTAGGTCTCTTTGTAGCAGCAAAGAACTGGAAACTAAGGAGGTGCCCACCAAATGGAAATGTCTGAACAAATTATGCTATGTGAATGAAATGTATTATTATGACATAATAAGTGATGAATCATAAGCTATTCCCCAGTGGATAAGTGATCAAATGATATGAACAAAGTTCTCAAAAGAAGAATTTCAAACTATTAATAACCAAGTGAAAGAATGCTCTGATCACTAATAATAAAAGAAATGTAAATCAAAAAACCCCCAAGGTTTTACCTCACACTCAACAAACTGTCAAAGATGAAAAAAAGATGGCAATAGTCAATGTTGGAGGGGCTGTGAGAAAACAGACACACTACTGCACTATTGTTGGGCCTGTGAATCAGTGACCATTTTGCAAATCAATTCAGAATTAAATAAATACAAATAAAGTGAATAAAATGTCCATACCCTTTGGCCCAGAGATTCTACTAATAGGCTTATAACCCAAGGAAGTCTTTGACAAGAATTAAAATCCCCATAAACACCAAAATATTTATAGCAGCATCAATTGGGGAATAGCTAAACAAATTGTGGTACACAGAATAACACTGTGCTTAACAACAAATATGATAAATATAGAGAAGCGTAGAAAGACTTACATGAACTGATGCACAGTGAAGTACGCAGAGGCAAGAAAACAATATACAAAATGACTACAGCAACATAAATGGAAAGAACGATAACTGCCAAACAATCAAAAGTGAATGTTGCAAAATTACAAAGAATAAGCATATGAGAAGTCACCCCTCCCAGATACTTCTCTGAAGAGGAAGGACAGGTGTGGGACATTTCAGACTTTCTCAATATATTAATCAGTTTTGCTGACTTTTTTTCCTTCTTCCTCTTTTTCTTTTTCTTAAAAAATTAACCTTGCTATATGGGATGACTCTAAAGATACTGGATGAAATTATGATGAAGTAAAAACAAAAGAATAATAAAATATATTTTAATAAAAGAAATAATGAAAGGTACAGAAGCAGTGAAATTTGGAAAGATTTATATAAACTGATAACAGAGTGAAGCAAGCAGAGCCAGGAGAACAATTTATACAAGAATAATATTGTAAAAATAAATGATTTTGAAACACTTAAGACCCCTGATTAACAAAACAACCAACAATGATTCCAGAGGATGGATGATGAAGCATGCTACCCTCCTCTTGACAGAGAGGTGAGAGACTCAGTATGTAGAATGAGACATATTTTTTGGACATGGCCAATATGGGAATTTGTTTTACTAGACTATGCTATTTGTTACAAAAGTTCCTTTCTTTTTTATTTTTAATATGGAGGAGGACTAGGAAGGAGAGAAAATAGATTTTTGTTAACTGTACAGCATCTAATTTTTAAAGATGCTTTTTTGGTTAACTGATAGTATATTAGAAGTAGGGAGAACAGCCAGGACAAATCCACATCATCCCCTGGTCAAGCTAGTTACCAACATTTCTCAATTACCTATGCCCCTGATAGAGAACTGGCTATATATATATGCATGCATATGTATATATGCACACACATGCATATATATATATATATATAACTTTATATATAAAGCTAATTTGTACTTGGGTCCAAAATAGCTGTTTTGTCCTTTTTTGGGGGGGCAGGGGCTGATTTTCACTTCTGATTAGGTTTTACTTATTCTCTGATCTCACTCACAGAAAAATCAGAACTTGCCAGTGGACAATACACATAGAGGTAAATCTACACCCCAACTGTGTGAACATTAAACAAAACCTCTTGGAGTCAGACTCCCAGGCCTTGAGTGGAGGTTCCAGTACACTGCAGAAGCCTAGCGTGGCTCCAGCAAACCGCACTCCTAGCTCTTCCTGAAGAATGGGTACAGAAGTCTGTCAATGGTAAAAGTATTCTTACCAAGTTTAGGAGGCCCGTGGGGGGCAGGGAGCTGGCTTTCTATCCTCTCTCCATCCTTCCCCAAACCACCCTTACTTGGTCCTGCAAGCCTTCGGCTTCCTCCATATGGGTCACCCATCTCTGCAAGCCAAGTATATATGGGTAAGTAAGCAGGGGAAGAAAATGCACCAAGCCTATAGGGAAAGATGCAGGGGGTGGAGCAGGGGAAGACAGGTGAACAGGGAATAGGAACATTGGGGGGTGGGGGAGAGCAAGACTGGGGAGACCTTAAGTACCAGGGAGAGGAGATGGGAGGGAGCAGGTTAAGCAGAATTTACTACAGTAGATACCGTACCTTAAACAAACTTTACATATACTTTAAATACTTTATCAACTCATCATTTGCTTTATAAGTGAGATTTATCATGGGATTTCTTTGATTAATGAACTCTTCAAACACATAGGCTCATATATGCTACAGCAAGGCTCACATGCTGCACCCCATACCCTCTGCCTCTCCCTAAGTCAGCTTCACTTCTAAGCATGGCCAAGAATTCTTTATTTTCTATTTATAACAAATGGTTCTAAAGAAAAAGCTTTAGGACTCCCCAGTCACATTTGGGGTGGAGGCAATAACAAGATACACCTCTGACTCTGTATCTTACACTCTCCTACCACCCATGCCATCAGTTCTAGCCTTAATGACTGGAAGTATCTATTGACTAGTATCGACATGGGCACAAAGATATCAAACACTGGGGCAAAGGAAATCATCTGCTGAGTTTCCCACTCTGGAGTGGAACAAGAGAAGGAGAACCCAGTTGAGGGCTCCTGACATGAACAGTGACAACTAATGGTGAGGTGATCCTTTTTTATCTGTTCATCTAGATGCAGGGATGGGGAACCTTTGGCCTCGAGGCCACATGTGGCCCTCTAGGTCCTCAAGTGTGGCCTTTTGACTGAATCCAAACTTCATTCACTGAATTCCAAACTCTTAATAAAAGGATTTGTTCTGTGAAGTTTGGACCCAGTCAAAAGTCCTCATTCGAAGACCAAGGGCCACATGTGGCCTCGAGGCCGAAGGCTCCCCACCCCTGAAGAGTAAAGCCTGGCATTCTCCACAGTGTTGAGCCCTCAAGAATGGTGTCTGCCCTCTGGGTTTCGTCACCCACTTTAGGGCTCAGGCAATGGTTAATGCTGAAACAAACTTCCTAAGCAGGAAGCTAAGGCCAGGGTAAGGAGACCAGGAGAATAGCCTTCTCTCCTCAGGTAAATTAAGAAACCTGATAAAGGGCTCCATGGAAAATACTCTCTGAGCCCTAAGTAGCAGGAATAGGAAACAAGAAGGAAACCTACTACATAAGCCAATCCAAAGACCTCCATTAGCCAAGATCTCCATGGAAACCCTTCTATAAGCCGATCAATCTAGATTTCTCCTATATATTCCTTCCTGCCCCAGATGCTGAGCTAGGACTATCTTCTTACAGAATCCCAAATGTTGCAAGGATCTCAAAAACCATCTAGTACAGCCCACACCTGAATAAGAATTCCTTCTATACCATGCCCAAATCAGAAACCATCCACTTCCCAAGGCAGTCTATTCTATTTTGGGGCAGCTATAATTTTCAGGAAGTTATCTCTCACATCAAACCTAAACTTACCTCACTGAAACTTATAGAAATTGTTCCTAGTTCTGCCTATGGGGCTAAGCATTTTGTGTTTTCCCATCAAAAATTAAAATCACACAGAAGAACTGGAGAAAGAAAGATGATCAAGGAATTTCACCGTCTGGCCATGGAGCACAGCCAAGCCAAGTTGGGGTTTAAAGACCAAAAATGTAATTGTCAGATCTAGGAGGGCAGGAGAAACCAAAGGCAAAGGCAAGACTTGAGGTCTCCTATAAACTGGTTCACTGAAACATCAAAGAGTACGCCCAATAAAGCAACTAGAACTTAAGTGCATACATTCTAGGCACTGTGCTGGGAGCTGGGGATAAAAAGACAAAAATAAAACAGACTTTACCCTCAAGGGCTCATATTCTGTCAGAAAAGAAGGGTTCACACCTAAGTATATACAAAAGAAATACAAGGTAATTGACAGAGGAAGGGAGAAGAAAGGCACTAGTAGCAAGAAGGATAAGGAAAGACTTCATACAGGAGGTGGTATCTGAACTGAACTTTGAAGGAAACTAGGGATTCTAAGATTTGGAGGTGAGGAGGGAGGGAATTCCAGGCACAAAGGTCAACCAGTGTAGGGACACAGAGTTGGGAGATGAAGATCATGTATGAGGAAAAGTAAGAGGTCACTCTGATGGAGATTACATGAAGGGAAGTAATATATAAAAATGCTAAACTGGTAGAACAGGGTTAAATTGTGTTTCCTCTCTTCCTCTCTCACAAAAATGCTATTTATTAATTTATTAACAAATATTTATAAAGTACCTACCATGAGTCAGGCACTATGATAGGTGTGGAGGCTAGGGGCTGGATCTGTGATTTCATTCATACAGAATGACACACACACAGTTCTAGGTAAGGAAGCTCCTAACCATGCAGGTTGACACCTTCTATAAAACTTTAAACTTAGAGAGGTGCCCAGGGCACTGAGCAGTTAAGTGCCCTGCCCAGGGTCACATATCCAATATATGTCAGAGATAGGACTTAAACCCAGGCTTCCTGGTTTTTAGGCCAACTCTAGCCACTATGGAATGTTGTCAGGTGCTGAGGATTAAAAAAGAGTCCCTGCCCTCAAGGAGCTTATATTCTGTCAGGGGAAACAACATAAATATAGGTAAATATAATATATATGCAGATAGTTCTCACTTGACATAAATGGACCATTCTACAAACGTCTACAGAAAACAAATCTGCCTGAAGATATGGAGAAGGGAAGGAGGAAGGAGGCAAGAAGGAGGCAGGCACACAGTTCAAGGACACATAGGGAGCCAGGGACAGAGAATCAAGAACAGAAGGAACAGAGGCGAGAGCCTGGCTTGAATGAGAGACAGAACAGAGCAAAAAGGAGCCTGAGGCAGAAGGAAGGGTGCCCCCAGCAGAGCAGGGCAAAGTTCTCCTCTCTCCTACCACACTGGAGATCTCAAGCCAAGCCCCCATCCTGTCAGTTCACCAGTCTCTCCACAATCCTTTCTTTTGCTTTCACTTGGAGGGTTTTGGGATTGGTTTTTTTTTAAATAATTTTTGGTGGTTTTTAAAGGGTTTTTTGGGGGGGGGATGGGAGAGCGGGAGGCTAAGCACCAAGTGGAGGGGCAGGAGGAGAAAGAGGGAGAGATAGAGAGAGGGAGGGGGGAGAGGGAGAAAGAGGGAGAGAAGGAGAGAAAGGGAAAAGGAGAGAGAGAGGAAAAGAGAGAGAGAGAGACAGAAACAGACAGAGACAGAGACTACCAAGTAAATACAAAGTAATTTCAGGGAAGAAAGAAGCCACTAACAACTGAGAAGCTCCAGAAAACTCTTAGACAGACAGTGGTACTTAAGCTCAGAAGAAAAGGAAATTTAAGGATTCTTTGAGGCAGGACTGAGAAGGCAGTGCATTCCATGCCTATGGATGGGAGATCAAACTTTTTTTGTTTGTTTGTTTGTTTTGGTTTTTTTTTTTTGGCTAGGCAATGGGGTTAAGTGACTTGCCCAGGGTCACATAGCTAGGAAGTGTTATGCGTCTGAGGCCAGATTTGAACTCAGGTCCTCCTGAATCCAGGGCCAGTGCTCTATCCACTGTACCACCTAGCTGCCCCCTGGAAGATCAAATGTTAAGTGTGAGGAACAATAAGAAAGACAGTTTGGCAGGACCACAGAGTGCCTAAAGGGAAGTGATGTAGAACTAGACTAGAAAGGTAGATGTGAAAGGTTTGGAATGCCAAAAAGAAGAGTACGTATCGCTCGGAAAAGCCTTGTGGCCAATGGCTGGTGAATTCTACACCCGGGTTTGAAATACCCTGAGAGGGCATCCTCCCTTTTCTCCTGTCTTGGGGAGGTATTTCAAGCACTTCGAACTGAGGAAGAATATTCCCAGACAACAGATAACCACTTCTCTGACAAGTTCTTTCCTCTCCTTTATCTACTATCTGGCTCCTTTCTGGCTGCCTAGAAGCACTGATAGACAGAAAGACAGACAGATAGATAGATGATAGATAAACATATAGATAAATAGATAGAATGATAGATAGACACATAGATAGAAACAGATACACACACATACTTGTCTATACCTAGATATCTCTTCACCCTACCATCCCCTCAAGCTATCTTTCTATATCCTTCTTTCCTTTCCCAGCCAAACTCCTGGGGGGGGGGGGGAGAGCTGTCTAAATTACCTCCATTTTTTCACCTTTTACTTATAGTTTTCAGCTCCTTACAATACAGCTTCTGATGCCAATACTTGCTGAAACTTTGCTCTCCAATGGTCTCTTTATTGTTAAACCTAATGGCATCTTCTCAGTTTTCATTCTCCTTGACCTCCCCTCAACATTCAACACTGTAGGCCAACCCTTCCTCCTATATACACTCTTCTCCCTTGATTTTCAGGACACTGCTTTCTCCTATTTATTTACCTCTGTCTGGTCCTCTGCAAAATCCCCATCACTGTCTCATCCCCTTTGTAGGGGTGCATCCCAGGGCTCTAAACAGGGCCCTCTTCTCTTATGCTTGTACTCTTTCTCTCAGCTCCCATGGGTTTAATTACCATCTCTATGTAGATGACTTCCAAATGCATGCATCCAGCCTTCATCTCTCTTTAAGCTCCAGTCTCACATCTCCAACTGCCTACTGGATGACATAAGCATCTCCAAACCAAAATGTTGGCACCAGAACTCACTGTATTTCCCCTTAAACCCACCTTTCTTCCTAGAAGATATTTCTGTCAAAGAAGTTCTATTCACCCAGGTTTGGAACCTTAGAATCATCCTCAATTTTTAATTCTCTCTCATTCCCCATCCCTACTTGGTTGGCAGTACCTTCAAATATATGTCTATGACATTTCTAACACCTTATTCTTTCTACCCACTCACAAAGCCACTACCCTATTTCAGGCCCTCATTGCCTCTGGCCTGCACTACTTCACAACCTTCCTTACTGATCCCCCACAAAGCCTCTCTCCGCTCCAGTCTACCCTCTAAACAGCTGCCAAATTGATATTCTAAAGCCAACTTTTTGGTCCTTGTCTCTTTATGCTCTTAAAAATTATTGAGGATCCCCCCCCACCAAAGGGCTTTTATGTGTTATAGCTATTGATAGCTATCATATTAGAAACAAAAACATCTTAGTATTATTATGAAAAGAGTTTTGACCTCAAAGACCTCCCCCTACAAAGGGTCTTGCAGATTCCCAAGGGGCCCCCGAGACCATACTTTGATAACTGTTGTTCAAAGCACTGGTCTGATCATATCACCCCTCTGCTGAAGAATCTTCAGTTGCTCCCAGATGCCTTTAAAATAAAATATACACTTATATGTTTGGTATTTAAAGCCCTTCCCAGGTTAATCACATATGTTTCTTCATTATGCCTTCTTTGTTCCAGCCAACCTGACCTACTTGATATTCTCCACATAGGAACTCCTATCTCTTGCGTCTTAGAAGACTCCCCAAGCTAAGAACAACCTTCCTCCTTGCTCCTGCTCTTCTTGGTATCCTGAGGTTCTTTCAAAGCTCTGCTCAAGGACCACCTCCTACAAGAGGCATTTCCTGTTTCCTGCAGTTATTACTATGCCCCAAAGTAATCTGTATTGGTTTATGTACATGTTAAATCCCCCCTAGGGGCAGCTAGGTGGCGCAGTGGATACAGCACCAGTCCTGAAGTCAGGAGGACCCGAGTTCGAATCCAGCCTCAGACCAAACACCTTACGCGTACTAGCTGTGTGACCTTGGGCAAGTCACTTAACCCCCGATTGCCTCACTAAAAAAAAATGAATAAAAAAAAGAAATACCCCCAGAAGAGTGTAGACTTCTTAAGGGCAAGAGACTTTTGTTTTAGTCATTCTATTTCCCCCATGCCCAGCAACATAGCTGGCAAACAGCAGGCATTTAATAAATGGTGAATTGAAACTAGTCTAAACACTGAATGCTGAATCAGTTATTATTTGATATACCAAGCACCTAAACTTCTGAGTACATATGTCCCCTTCCCTAACCTTGGGAAGCAACTTTCCTTTCAGCCGGGCCAGATTTACTCAATTCTCCCAAGACATTATGGGATAGGTAAGTCAGGAGTTCTTAGCCTTTTTTGTGTCACGAAAACCTAGTAAAGCCTATGGACTCCTCAGAATAACATTTTTTAAGCGTATCAAATTAAATACATTGAATTACAAAGGAAACCAATTCTATTGAAACATAGTTATCAATATATGTGCATATATAAAAATTTTAATTAATTTTTAAAATAAGTAATTAATTAATTAGATTAACAGACTCTAGGATAAGAACTCCTGAACCAGATGATCTCCAAGGTCTCTTCCAACTCTGACATTTATAATTTTATCCAATTTATATCTCACCTCTCCTTTCTTAAATTTATCTACTTTATACTTTGGCAGTTTAATTTGCACCCAGAAAAACATTTCTCACCATACATTGCTCAAAGCCATTAGACCTGTTCCCTTCTCCCAGCTCAGCCTCTTTCCTCCCTTCCCCAAAGGACCCAACCCAAGTAAGAATATAACAAAGGAATAAAGAAACAAAGTAATTACCTAGGACAAACCCAGGAAGAGCTTTTGTCTTTGGAGAACCAATCTTTTCCACTCTGCAAATCTACAGGTACAGACAGTACTACATGAAGATGGAGCACCAGGGTAGTTATTACACTTATTCATTTACCTATACCCTTGTTCAAGGCCCAAATTTTTAGAGTCTCCATTCTCTCTAAATGACTTCTCAGACGTTAGGGACAAATTTACTGGGTTTCCCTCTCTCCTGTTGACCTCTCCGAAGATTACTACTTTATGTCAGCTTACTACTCAGTTCACCTCTAGAAAGAGGCTCAGGTCAAAGCCAGGTGTGGGTGATTATAATTTTTACTGCAGACTTCAAAGACAGAAGCTTAAAGGGAAATGTATGTGTGTCTGTGTGCTGAGAGGGAGATGATCCCATCTACTTTCCAGGTCAAGAGGCCAAGCTTCAGATCTGTATATATGTACTCCATGCCCTGTCAAGGGAGCAGCAAAGGAACAGAAACCTGAAAGTTACCAATGGCAGGGTAATTCAATAATCCCAGCCACTTTTTTTTTTCTCTCTCTCACCCCCCCCACCCCCAATCCCATATGATACCAACATGAATCAACTCAGAAGGCACTAGTGGTATCACAAAAAGTGCACTGAACTTGAAGAGATCTGGATTCAAATCCTGCATCTGAAACACTAGCCAAATGACTAGACTAAAACTCTCAAAGCCTCAGTTTCTTTATCTGTAAAATGCGAATAACTGGAGTACCTACTTCAGATGGTGAGGATCAGATGAGATTAATATACATAAAGTATTCTGCAAACCACAAAACTATATAAGCCTAAGCTATCACTATTATAAACTGAGTAGGAGCTCTGCTTTGGATTGGCTCAGGAAGGCCAAAGACCTGAGCTCAGGACTAGGGAAGACCAAGGGATTTAGGTTAGACACAAGAAGACTGCACGACTCACACAGTAACATCATAGGGGTAGGAGAGATTTTCTACATTCACCCACTTCATTAGGATAGAGAAAGATCTCTGCTCCTTTGCTTCTCCCTTCCAAAAGCCCATTTCCCAGGGAACTGGGAAAAGAGGGACATTTGCATACAAAGAAAAAATCCCATCAAAAGTCACAACAAACATATCCTCTTAATTAAAAAAATGCACAACCTAGGAAACTCACATAACCAAACAAAGGCAGAGCAACCCAGAACACCATTTCATGGAAACAAACCAAGAGCAGGAAGTTTTTACTTCAGTCCTAGGGTCACAGCAAAGAGAAATGGCTCAAGACAGCTTGAAGGGTGAAAAAAACAGCCAGCCAGCCACAGATGGATTGGGGAGAATCTGGAGACACCTACATCTGAGGGGGCAGGGCTGAGTGGGGGGGGGGGGGGAAATGGGCCACCGGGAATAGGCAAAGTTGGGGCTGGGGTAGGAAGGAGAGGCAGGACTGGGGTAGTGTGTAGGGAAGCGATTGGCCAACTCCACCAAAGAGGGTCAATGCCTTCAGACATTCATGGCCATCACAACCCCCAGGAAGGTACCAGAAGGACCTCCAGATCCTCCCCTTCTCCTATCTAGCCCTGGTCGGATTTCAATTTTCTAACCGAGTGCACAGCGGCCTCCCAACCCCAACCCTGCTGGGGGCCATAGTGAACAGGTCCCACACCCACCTGTCACCTGCCTGACCCTCCCCCTCCGCCCTGTGAGTGGCCTGCTAGGACTGGGGGAGAAGCAGCCAGGAAGGTGGAGGAATTGGGGGTGCACGGGGGGCCGAATCGTCTTCCCCAATAAGCCCCCCACTCATGCCCCGCGCCCCTCACCCCGCCCCGGCCCGGCCTGTCCCGTCCAGTCCTGTCCTGTCCCGCGCGGGCGGGCGGCGAGCCGGAAGGGGCCGGATTACAGGGAGGCCGGGCCGGGCAGACCGGGCCGAGCCGGAGGGGGAGGGGGGACAGCTCCAAACACGGGGGGGGGGGGCGCAAAGCAAGCCGAAGGCAGCGAAGCAAAATGGCGACTTTTTCTGTAGGAGGAGAAGGAAGGAAAACAGCGCGAAGGCGCGGGAGGCCGAGCGAGCGGCCGCACCCCCAGCCCGGGGGGTCTGCAGCGCCCCCGGCCCCCCTGGCCCCAGGCGGCCCCGCCCCCCGGCCTTTGCTGGCTCCGGGGCCTGGGGGCAAGGGGGCGCGGGGCTCGGGCGGGGCGCGGAGGGCTGCCCGGAGGGGGAGGCCCCGGGGGGCTGGGGCCAGGGCCAGGGCCGGGGGCAGGCGGGCAGGCAGGCAGGCGCGCTTACCTCCGGCCCGGCTCGGCTGGGCTCGGCGCGGCGCGGCGCGGCGCGGCTCGGCACGGCTCCCCCGGGCCGGCGCAGGCTGCGCGCCGCGCTGGGCTCATGCGCGCTCCCTCCCCCTCCTACCTTTGACAGTTTTACAGTCCGGGGGGGGTGGGGCGGGGGGACGGGGGAAGCAACTTGCAACTCTCGCGTTATTCTTGCAGCCCCGCACAGTCTCCCAGGGAAATGGGGATCGTCTACGGGGCTGGGGGAGGCCTCAGCCCGAGGCTACTGTTTCCCCCCCAGCCGCGGAGCGCACGCGGAGACCCAATCTGGGCTCCGGGAACTCCAGGGTCCGTCCTTCTTGGCCTGGCTGAGGAGGCCAGCTTGTGCCCCCATCACCCCGTCAATAAAGCGGAGATCGATACCGCCCTGGGTGAAGGAGGGAATGCAGTTGCTCCCCTTAAACCTTCCCGAAGGGTGGGGATGGGGTGGCCCGGTGTTAGGGAGTGGCCAGGCCAGCACCAGCGGGAGTCCCTCCTTGCGGCCCGAGCTGGATGTCAGACAAAACCTCCGAAACTCCGAGCCTCGAGCGAAGGGCAGATCTCTGTCCTGGTGGGGGCAGTTTGAGGTCACTGGGGAAACAGCAATGCTAGGGGTCCGGGGTCAATTGCCTCAGGCCCCCCTGGGCTCAGGATTGTGAAAGCCATAGCAGGAGCTGACAGAAAAGGACTCAGGCATTTGGGCTTCCAGTCCCACGGTGTTGCTCCCCCCCAAAAATTCTGCAGAGGAAAGGGGAAGAACTTATTTGGGGGAAGTGTCTGCTAGAAAGGAGCATCACCGTTTGACACTCAGTTTCCTCCTTGACTGGCCATCTCAGCCTTTTTATTGTGGGGTCATAAATCTAGAACAAGAAGGCATGTCCAAAGCCATAGCCCACTTCCACTGCAGAGAGGAGGAAACAGGTCCAGGGAATTTAAGGGACTTGTTCCAGGTCACACAGATAAAGTCATAGGCAGCATTTGAAAACAGAGACGTAGTTGAGAGATGGTATGGAGAAAGAAATGGTTTGGCAACAATGAATGTGACGTCTGAGTGCGAGTGAGAAATCAAGGATAACGTTGAGGTTACAAATATGGGTATCTGGGAGGATGTTGGTACCTTCAACAGAGTTAGGAAAGTTTGGGAAAAGAGTAACGGGCATGAGAGTCTGGAAGAGTTCTATTTTGTATGTTGTATTTAAGATGTTAATGGGGTGTGCAGTTGGAAATATCTGATAGGCATTGGGTGATTTGTGAATAGAGCTCCCTAGAGAGAGGAGGCCTGGATATATAGATTTGAAAGTTGTCAGCATAGAGATAAGCGTTAAACCAATGTAAGCTGATGAGATCACCAAAAGTATAGAAAGAGAAAAGGAAAGGGCCCAACACAGTCTTGGGATACATGTGAAGGTTAGTGGGTGGGATATAGATGATTATCCAGCAAAGGAGACTGAGAGGGGTGAAAGAATTTGGAGGAGGAAATCACCTATGTCAAATGCTACAAAGAGATTATAAAGGATGAAGACTGAGAAGAGATCATTAGAGTGAAAAATAAGGGATCATTGGTAACTTTGGACAGCTCAGTTTCAGTTGAATGATGAAGTAGTGTGCCAGACTGTAAAAGGGTTGAAATGAGAATAAAAGGAGAATGAAATGGAGGCATTGAGTGTAGATAGTTTTTTTCTTGGGAATTTGGCTAAGAAAGGGAGAAATATATGATGATCTCATCAGATCCTCATCAACTCCCCTGTGAAGTCAACAGGGCAGGAATTATCCCTATTTTACATATGAGAAAAAGGAAGTCCAGAGATAATGAGTGACTTGCTCATAGTCATAAAGACAGTTAATTTCAGAAGCAGCACTATATTTGTGGTCTTCTTACTCCCAATTTGGTGCTTTTTTCTATTGCACCACCATACACAAGGCTCCCTTCTCTGGGAGCTAACACTTTCTACCCACACCACAGACTACAGATATAACTAAAGTTAGCCTCCTGGAGCTTTGCTCCCGACTCGAACAGTGGAGGGACTGGAGTGCCGCAGGCCTCCTCAGAGTGTTGCTGGGCCATCCCAACTGACACATCAACAGTGCTGTTGTCTCTGTCCTGGGGAGCTGTCTCCCTTTGTGCTACTGCTGCCTCCTACTTTCTACTGTCCTCCCTTCCCATACTCTCCCTTGCGGGATAGAGTGGAGAGGATGGTGTCAGGTCTCTGCTCTGACTGTTAAAGAGACAGCCGTCTCTTTTCTCTGCTCAACTGTACTCCACAGAGTCAACAACCTTAGTTATCCATCTCACATGATTCATGAATTAGAATATTGACATTCCCCTAATTTCCTATAAAAAATAAGGGGGAATGTCTATGTCTCTACTTCCTGTTCCCTTGGGCCCTGTGTCCCTAGGTCTCTTCCTCTCGACTGAATTTGTCTTAGGATACTGTGTTTAGGGAAGGAAAGTGGATGCCTGAATATCTCCCAGGAAATAAATACCCCATGTAGTCATTCAGTCAACAAGCATTTATTGAGTGCTTACTATGTGCCAGGCATTATGCTAAATAAACAATGATGGAGATACTAAGAAAAGTAACAATAGTCCCTACCCTCAAGGAGCTTACATTCCAACGGGGGAGACAATATAAATAAATGGTTTCATACAAAATAGATACAGAGTACCTGAAAGGTTATGTGAGAGAGAAAGAGAGAGACAGAGACAGAGAGAGAGAGCAGCAGCAGCTGGTGAGAGGAGGGAGAGGAGAAATGGAGAAAGGCCAGCTACAGAAGATATGATTTGATCTGAGTCTTGAAGGAAGCCAGGGAAAATAAAAGGTGGAAGTGAAAGGGCAGAGCCTTCTAACACTGGAAAACAACCGGTGCAAATGCATTGAGATGGAAGATAGACTGTTGTATGCATGGAGAAACAAGTAGGCCAATATAGTTAGATCATAGAATTTGTGGAGGGAGGTGAAGTATAATGTAGTATGAGCCCCAAAGACCATTGGTATGGGACTCTTTCCTCAGTGGTGCAGATCAGTATCCTGTACCTGTTTGAGGAGTGAGGAAGACTTGTTGAGAGTAGGAAAAAAGAGAGATAAGATCTCCTGAATATTTTCTTGGATTCTGGTTTCCAGCTTTGAGAGAGATGATCCTCAATAGCAACCATTCTTCAGATTGCTAAAGGGAAAGAAGGACTCTGGGAAAAAAGCTGACATGAGAGGAGCTGGCAGTCTATCCATGGATTGCTTCACTATAGATTTCAGGGGAATTTCCCCCTAGGTGAGATCTGTGACTCTCTCTGTTCTTGGTTGAGCTGATTTACCTCACTCGTAGTGGGAAAGCTCCCTTGTTCTATATTGTTTCATATATATGTTTTCTTTCTGTTTTACTGTCAACTTAGATAAATAGGTTTCTCTGCTATTAGCTGTGTTTGTACTCATTGCAGAACTGGTATTTGGAGGGAAAGGGGTCAAGCCTTGTATATAAAGCTTGGAGGCTCCTTTCCCCATTAATGAATAGCAATCAGGAGTTTAGCTTAAAGTTACTTCCCTTAAACTAACAATATTTAAGGGAGCAGATATATGTAATTCTAGACCAGTATCTTCTCTCTCTGAGGGTAAAATGGCCAGGCTTTGGCCTCAATGTCCTGCCAGAAATTAAAGTCTCCCTTGGAGACGAGTGGGGAAGGAGATGATAGAAATGTCTATTCTTGCCTCCCTGCAAGCCTGATTGAAACAGCCACACATTACAATAATAAAACTGAAAAGGTAGGAAGGCGCCAGGTTATGAAGTGCTTTGAGAGCAAATAGTAATTTCTATTGAATAGGAATTGGGTCTGTGATCTCATTGGTATAGGGAATTCCCAGGTGAGGAAATTCCCTCTACCAGTACAGGTCAGCACCTTCTCTTCGATAAAAGGATAAGTGATTTACTTGCCCAAGATCACACAAGCCCCTGTCAGACCCAAGATTTGAAACCAGGTTTTACTAATTTCAAGGCCAGCTTGTTATGCATTACAGTACTCTGCCTCTTTATGTTCTAGTTAATGTTGACATATATTCTGTGAATTCCCTCCAGCTGGCTCACAGTGACAACTAGGCTTGATGGGAACAAAAGTTGCTTTCAATGAGCTCACATGAACTGTGTAGGGAAAAGAAACCATGCCGGGATTTTAAATGGGCACTCATAAACCACATCCAGATAATTGAGAATTGACCATAATGTGACCTTTAGGTGATCTCCAAAGATCTCTTCTAGCTCTAACTTCTATGACTTGGTGTCATAGCTAGATGACAACATTAAATTCAATTCTGAATTGTCTGGAGGTGGTTTATGGGGGCCCATTTTAAAATCCTAGCATGACATTGAATGAAAAATATCAATATCGTACTCTGTACTTTAGGTACATCTTCCAGAAACATTATTTAAAATTCAAAACATTGTTATTTAACAATTCAACATTGTTATCTTTCTTATTATCTTTAACATTATTCTTCACAATGTCTCTTGCACGTATCTTCTATCCTCTGACACAGCCATTGTCTTAGGGAAGCATTAGCATTCTGTTTGGTCTCCCTAGCTCAAGTCTCTCCCTACGCATTCTCCTCTCAGCTGCCGAAATGATCTTCCTAAAGTGTAGGTCACTTCCCTTACTCAGTAAACTACAGTGGCTCCCTATTTCTTCCAAGATTAAATGTAAAATCCTCTGTTTGTCTTTTAAAGCCCTTCATTAACTGACCCCTTCCTGCCTTTCTAGTCTTCTTAGACTTTACTCCCTGTAACATACTCTACCATTCAATCCAACAACTGGTCTCATTGTTCTTCAAACGTGACACTCCATTTCCCAAAACAGTGCCTTTTCACTGGTGGCCCTCCATGTCTAGAATTCTTCCCCTCCTGGATTCTTTGACTTCCTTCGAGACAAAACTCCTATCTTCTGCAAGAAGACTTTCCTGGCAGCCCCTACTGCTAACACCTTCCCTCTGAGATCACCTTCAATTTATATCTTG